TAGGACTTAAACCAATCCCAAATCTTTCCTGTGAATCCATAGGAGCTTAATTTTCTTAGCAAAATTGAATGTGAAACTTTGTCGAATGCCTTGCTAAAATCGGTATAGATAACATCAACTTGATTTCTATTGTCAATGGCATCTACAAGATCTTCGACAAAAGTTACAAGATTAGTTAAAGTTGATCTATTTTTCACGAAACCGTGCTGAGAGTCAGTCATAAATTGTCGGAAATAGGTTTGAATATGAGGACAAACGATTGATTCAAGAAGCTTGGCTAATGTAGAAAGTATCGAGATTGGCCGATAATTCGAAACAATACCAATATCACCTGATTTAAAGACTGGTACTACCTTTGCAAGCTTCCACAGATCTGGAAACACTCCAGTAATAAATGACTCATTTATAATTTTACACAAAGGAAAAGCTAAACTATCAGTACAATTTTTAAGAAATATTGGCGCTAATCCATCGGCACCAGTACCTTTGGTAATATCTAAAGTTTTGAGTTTATTAACAATAACATTGAGATCAACGGTAAGACTGGAAAAACATGAACTCCCATTATCAATGATTCTAAGACTTTCAATTTCAGAATGGGGTCCTTCTTTTGGATTATCACCATAGACCCTTGAATAAGTTGCAGCAAACAATTCACAAATGCTTTGGCCATTGTTTGCTATAGTGATACCATCTGTGACAGACCTGGGATAGGCACTAGACCCTCCACGTTTGCTTTTGATAAATGACCAAAAGTATTTTGAATTTTGCCTAATCGTTTTCTCTATGTTAACAATATAATTATTATAACACTCTTTAGCTAACTTATCGCATCTTTGACTTAAAATTTGTAGTTCAATTTCGTCTAAAGGGTTACTATATTTTTTATACTTAAGCCGGAGTTTATTTTTTTCCTTTAGTCTTGCAATCAGCACTTTATTAAACCATGGGGGGTGACGTTTAAGGCAATTAACATTTTTAATTGGAACAAATTTTTTAATGACTTCATTTATAGTATCATAGAATATTTCTAACATCCTATTCACGTCATTGCATAGGGAGAAGATTGAGTCCCAATCCAAACTAAAAAGATACTTATTTATTGCCTCATAATCAGCCTTATAAAAATTATACTTAAGAACACTCATATTAGGCGTTAGTTTTTCTGTTTCATCAGATGCCATACAAGTGCATATAGGTGGATGTTGTGGATCGATGTTGGATAAAACATCATAAGCAGAAGACACAGTACAGTTATCAATATCTGTAAGAACTAGATCCAATATTTTATCTCTAGCGTTAACTATACAGTTAATTTGTTTTAGATTATTAACAAAAGTAAAATCTATTAATGTTTGACAAAGACTGGTGGTGCAGTAGCTTGAATTGTGATTAACCTGCGTCCAATCTATATTACTCATATTAAAGTCGCCAATAATACATAGATGTCCGTCAAAATTCTCAAGAACCGCATTACAGTTATTAACAAAATGTTCTAACATGCTACGTTGAATTGGTGGTGGGAGGTAAACGGCGCAAAGTGCGATCTTTTTAACTACTGAAAAAGGCAGATTTATCACAATCCAAAGATCTTCACATGCACTATTCCATTCATTTATACAGTCAGAAGATAAGCTTTTTTTGACCGCAACCAGAACCCCACCTCCATCCTTGCCACCATGAAATCCTGACGTTTCTCTATCCCTTCTGAATACTGTGTAACGGTTATCAAATAGTTCGGAGCTCAATACGCTGCTATTTAACCACGTCTCTGTTAAGACTATTACATCATAGTCACTAGTTGCTAACTTACGATTAAATGTTTGTGTTTTGGTCCTAAGACCTCTAACATTCTGGTAATAAATTACAAGCGAATTAATATTAGCAGATGACATTATATTTTAACTTTATATTAACTAATAGAAACAATTAGCGAATTACTCTAGTTTTGATAATGAATCAAAATTTTTAATTTGAATAAAGCCTGAATTTTCACTTTTTCTTAGAAATATACGTCCACCTCTCACCCAAACAAATTTAAACCCTTTTTCCTTTGCAGTCTTCCTCGCCGCCGAATGCAATTCCTTATTTGCAGCTGACAAGTGCTCTGTTACGTATACCGGAGTCTTAGGACCATTAAAACCAAGGTGACTAGAGTTCAACTTGTTATCCGGGTTAGCTTTATTAAATTTGATTGTGGCTGCTAAGAAGCTATCTCGTACTCTAGTGTTATTAAATTCAACTATCACCGAACGAGGACGATCATTATTCGGATTGAGTTTGGCAATTCTTGTTATTCGATTTATCTGTTCAGTTTTGATGTCACACTTTACTATACTGCAAATGTTGTTGAACACCGTGAAAAGATTTTCTGACTTCTTCTCTGGCAAGCATTGAATTTCGACGTTGCTGCTGCGGGCGTTCTGCTCAAGGTTGTTCATGCGTGTCTCAAGATATTTTATAGTACTCTGCAATTTGGCATTTGTTTCAATCAGACTCTTAGTATCTTCCAGAGACTTAGTATTTTTGTTTTGAATATCTTCACATTTTCTATTCATATCATCCATTTTCTGCTTCATGTTACAAATTTCTTCCCGAAATGTTTTAAGTTCAGTATCTAGAATGGAACGCACGTTTTTGGTCATCTGAACCATAAGGTCTGATATATGCTTTTGAATAATTTCCTCCATAATGTTACGCACCTCTGTACGTGTTACAGGGCCTTCAATTTCAATTTCCGGGGGGATGACAATGCCTGTCTTTTGGAGGCTCGTACTGTAATATTAGGGTCACATTTTACTGGTGTGTTATCCTTATTGCCAGTCGCGTGGAGAGGTCTAATGCAACATGGACCGATCCAGTCAGTAGCATGCTTTATCGCTTTCAAATTGTCGACATCATTGGTTAGACATTTAAGATGATATGCCTTGTTACATGTGTTGCAAAGCTTATAAATATTATCTTCAAACCCTAAAGAACAACAACCCCATTCAATTAAATCTTGATCCATTTTATAATATAATTTTAGTTATACTTGTCGTGATAAATAAATTATATTTTGGCACAGCAATAAATGCCCGAACCAAAAATCCACAGCAACAAAGTCGTTTTTTTTTTTTTCACAACAGTTTTTTTTTTTCCAATCGACACGGGAAAGATTCACTACCGTCGCGTCGGGTACATTAACAAAATTATAAGTCACAGTTTATAACGGCGCGGCAGTAGGTTAATTATTCGTTAACAATTACTTTCAATTTTAAAAGTTTATAGGTATTTTAAGATTAAAACACAATACTCTACACAACGTTAAATTTAAAGTTCACTTAATTATCACTTGTTTCAGTATTTTAAACGTTCTTAACATAAAGAAAAAAAAGAATTAAATTCGCGGAGCAAAATGACACCGCCGCGTTCACAACGATGCACCAGACATAATTTTTATTCAGAATTAATTAGTGTAAAGTGAATTAAAGAGTTAATTTTAGGAATACTATCGGCAATTTTTATTGTCACGAACCCTAAGCTCGTAACAATAAGAAGAAGACCGTACAATCACATGAAGCTTTGGTCGCTTACCAGGTTTCCTCGGTTCACCCATGCCCGGCGAGAAATCTTCACTTTTCTTTCCCCGACTGATACTATTTCCAACTTTTTGCTCGCTAAGTAACAGTTAAAACTACTAGATGTACTAGATGGGCAATGTTGCTCTTACCCTATATCAAATCATGTCTATGTATTTGGATATGCACATCTGATATTGAATCTACATATATATTTGAATATCTATATACCTATCGGTTGATATTCATGTGAATCTGTAACTCTGTAAAGAAGTCCATTACTACACGTCAATATGCGATTTGTGATGGATTCGGTTTGCTTACATTTATAATAGTAATGGTCAACATATATTATACTATGAAACGAGTATATCTTACAACGACGAGTCGAAGTAGATATATTGCACATTTTACTCAAAATGTCTCGAATTCAGATATTTTATTTCATCACAGATATTTTTTTTACGATAAAATTATTTCTTCGAGTTAGATGTTCTGTGAAGTAGCTGTACTATAGCGGTGTCTGATATATAGTTAATTTGCCGTCCGATATATAGATATTGTATCTATGATTTGTATCGCCCACAAGTTATACGATTTGTATCGCCTGGTCCTAAAAACTTTTATTATACTATTAAAACTAGTTGTGCTCGAGGCTTCGTCTGAGTCGAATTTAGTTTGTGACTAAAAGAAAGAGGCGAGGAACACGCATCCAAATTCCAACCCTACCATCGTGCTATTGAAGTTATGGTTTTAACTTTAAGTGGTGTTGATTATAAAAAGGACACAAATCTAAATTTATATGATGTTATTCGTGTCTGGTATGGACGATATTTTCAAGGCGGCAACAAAAGCGTTGCGTGCATAAGCAAACTATAATCTCGTAAACATTAAAAATAAAAATGAAATAAGAAGCTATTATATTCATTACTTTTGATGGCCGTTCTCGAGACATACGATAATACTTTTACACTGGTTTGGTTCCACTAAGTCTATTCTGAGTCTCGCAGTCTCTAATTCAATTTAATATAAAAAATAGTGGACTTGAAATACCATGACTATGGCTCAACAGCGTTAGGCTGCAGTGCAAACAAGAACAAGTTTGCACTGGACTTACATATTATGTCCATTTGTACTTGCATGTTCAAATTGTTGCCTACTATGAAAGAGTCGCGGTCATTCAGGGGCTAAACGCCCGCCGTCAATTACAAAGTTAGTAACCTGCGTATGTTTCCGGCACCAATGGCATCGTCAATTGTAACTTGAAGTGCTGCTTTACCGTGCTCGGCGGCGGAAGAAAACATGGTGAGGAAACCTGTATATCCAAATAATAAAATTATATGGAAGACGAAAGTCCACCCAAGCGCACTGGACTAGAGCGGTGCATCAAGTGGCACGTGGTAGGTGGGAGGGGGGCAACGTATAAGAGAAGAGACTAACTGGAGGAAGCCTCGCGCTCGAGGCGCGCCAGCTCGGGCGGCGAGATCTCCCACTTCATGGTGGAGTTGGGGTTGATGGTGATGACGGCCACGTCGTTGTACATGTAGTTGGATAGGAACGTCTGCGCCGTGCGGTCGCGTGCGTACAGGTTGCTCAGCTGCGTGTAGTCCTGCTCCGTGTACCTGTGCAAAAGTATTTAGGGAGTTATAAGTTGAAAAGTGAGAGGGAGTTACGAGTGTCGTAAGAGCCGACAAAGAAAAAACTACGGTTGCCTACTTGCCTGCAAAGCGTGGCAACTGTGACAAAGTTTGTCCCTATGAAGCAATCTATTGGGAAGGCCCAGGTTCAGCATTGGTTATTTGATAAGCTGCAATAAATGAATGAAACAATTCAGGGACATGTTCAACATGTCAAACAATTCAGGACAAGGGACATGACAATTCGACAAGTATTTCGTCATTTTTTAAAAATAGTTCACCTAGGAGCGACATTAAGCAGCCTCCTTTTAATCTTTTCAAAATTCTTATCTAATGACTCACTAAAAAACATTTGCATATACGCTATACGTACACAATTGTAACACATAACACACTACATAATGTAAGTAATATTTAAAATAATTTCAAAATTAAAAAGGAGACAATCATTTTTGGGCCCACTAGAAATATTAACGTCGTTTAATGGTATTTACACCAAAAAAAGACACCAAATTATAATAGTAAATGGCCTATAGATTTTTCGAAAATGTAAACGGAAACAAGAAATCTGAAAAAAAAATTAGTTATTTTGACATTCGTGTTCTGATCATTGGCTAAGGTAATGTAATATTTAAAAAATTACTGTCTTAGAGATGTTCCGTGATAACTCGGAAAAAATCGAATCAAGTTGAAATTCAGGTAACTCGATTTTGAGCTCGAGTTAAACAATTCAAATTAGATGAACGAAGCTGTGTCAATATGTCACAAATTATTTTTATAATTGTTCTTCCATACAACACAATTATTATTACTACACTTAATAGGTAGTTATATATTATTTTTGGTATGCGTATCGATATCTTCATAAAATAATATCACTCTAACGTTATGACGTAAGTCTTAATGTTATTAATAATTTGACTATCCAAAGTATATATAATCAATTTATATTATGTGTAACATAAATTGATACATTATATACATATTACCTAATATCAATTTATTTATTACATAATATATCAATAAATTGCTTGAATTAGTAAGTCGATTTAATCACTAAATTGTAGACAAACACTGCATTGGCCGTAAGATAAAGATGCGATTCGAGTAGAGTTTTGTGACTCGAGCCACTCGGGTTAATTTACGAGTATGTAGGTATGTCATTCTAGTTGTACACTAGTTTTTGAGTAAATCAACTATTTACAGAAAAGTTTATCACTAGAGTTGAGAGTAGCGATTACTTTAGTTAAACAATTTTTAAATATGTACCTTTATAAATAAGTAATATGTGAAATTAAAACTATAAATCAATATCATAAATAAAACTAAATTCAGGTTTGTTTACAACATGCCAGATGCAAGTTTGAATTTGGATGCAACTTGTGATGTCACCTGCAGCGACTTATACATGTAATGTATGTATGCATGTATATATACAAGTAAATTAGTGAAGTAATATCTATATAGCACCCTCTGAATCTATACGATGCGCCGAGTTAACTCGGTAACTCGGTAAAATTTATTTTCTATCGATTATCGAGTTGGACAAATTCACTCGATTCACTCGGGTGAAATAAAACATAGTTGGAGTCGCATCATTATGTGAAGAACAAAATGGAGTTTTTATTTACAAGCATTATTAAACTAATGTTTAAGAAAATATGGATATTATCAATTATCAGAAAGGTTAGCCAAATATTAATTGACACAAGTACGTAGTTTTTCTCTTTATAGTTTTTGTGGTAAAATTCGCAAATAGAATATAAGAGTTTATTAATTTACACCCATTCTAGGTTGTGAAAATCTATTATTAAGTTTGTATATTTTACCTAAAACAAAATAAATACAAATAATAAACAGGTCTTAGAACCTTATTAGTTTGTTAAAAGTGACAAAGTATTAAGTTTATTTTATTAGTAAAATCTAAATTAAATACATAATAAATAGAATAAATGCACAAAATAATTTATTATAATGTTAAAAGAAAATTAGAATCTTTGGGTCTAGGGACTTAAAGAGGGTTTTGAAGAGCAATTCATATAACTACATTTGTGTACAAATAGGTACCTTATGTATTCAGCAAGTTGTTTAATACTAAATGGCTTTTTCGTTAAGCCAGACACAGATCCTGGATTTATACCAGCCATAGTAGATAGGCAATATAAATGTTACATATTTATGTGTAAAAAATGTAGTAATTATTTGTACTAGAAGCAAATATAAATATAAGTTTAATAATAATAGTTTGCATAAAAAAGTGTAATGGTTGTATCTATTATGCTTAGACAGCTGTGTTGTTCACTGTGCAGAAAGGAATATTATTTTGTCATCTAGAATCAGATATACTTAATATAACAATAATATCTTTGTCTCCTATGTACATGAAACCAGTAAAAATAAAATGTGAGACAACTTTTACATGGTTGAATATCATAGATGTTGATCAGTAATTACTGCTCCTGTATTTGATCAGCTGGAGCTGATTAATGCTGTATAGTTTATAATAATTTCTTTATTATTTAACATATGAAAAGGCAGATATAAGAAAATGCTTAAAGAAATATGTAAATACAGTTTATTGACATTGAAGGCATAGTCTTATCTCATATCTCTTATTATTAAAAATGTCCTTTTAATTCCTATATAATATAGAAAAAAATAATATATTGATAAGAATTATTATTTAGTTAAGACACCTTTACAATTGTCATTAACTTCTTTTCAGGTGGATCGCTTAGAACAAATCTGTATGCCGTGCAGGCTTAAAGCTTGCAGAGACAAAAAGTGTATGGATATTGAAGACAACAGTCTTATATCATATCTCTTATAATTGAAAATTCCTTCTGATTGCTTACAATATCATAAATGTACATGTTACCATCAAGTTATTTTCAAAAAAACCTTCAGAAATATATCTAACACTAAAATGTTTCTACCTATGTCCGTTATAGACAAAACATAAGAAACCATCCAACCAATTTCAATGAAAATGTTTGTGTGTATTTGGATGGATCCCTAGATGGTTTATATTTACATTTGGACCCGGTAGATGGCACTGTTGTCGAGATCCATAAATCACCAGTGCTGCAGCTGAGCCGCATCGCTAGTAATAAATACATTTAAATTAAGCCTGTGTTTTTGTAATCCTTACACAAACAATTTGAAACATCTTACTTCCTCACTATTTATCATTGTGTAATAACATAGATAAGGCATGTTAATTCCTAGTCATTTTATTATGATGTATACTACTTACTAATCAACCAAAACATATTAAAACAATGTCTTGACACCGCTCCTGTCTATATATGTCAGTCAATCATCAAAGTTCAAAAAATTTATTAAATTAAGTTTGTATAAAAGGGGTTATTATAGTATAAAGGAATTTATGGCTGACAATAACCCGTGGGTAAGGTGATCGCTACCAAGCTATTTCTAATTTGTTCTGTGTTGTTAATTAAGACATACATGATTGTAAGCTGGCTTTTTTTTTAAAGACCCACTGGGTATTTTGCTGGTTCTCTTCAAGTCAGAGGTTTTTTCCGAACCAGTGGTAAATTAAAAAAGTGACTTTCAATAAGTATTATTTATAATCTAAATTGAATAAAAGGTTTCTGTTTCTGTACCTACTACTGTTAATAGAATACTTAAATAAATTATGATTTACAATAATAAATAGAATTAACTACATTATATTTTGTTTTTTGTAATACAACCAGTTTAAAACATCTTACTGTGTGTTGGTAATATCATAAATATAAATAGACATTATCCCTTAGCCATCTTGGTATTTAGAATTACACTCACAATCAATCAATACATGTCAAACTTAGAATCCATACGACATTTGTGTATAGACAGGCACTATGTTTTGCCGGAACTAGTGAAAGGTTTTACATCGATTTTAAAATATTTATAAATGCTGAATATATCTACAGCTTAGTTTTATTTGTACTATTATTCAAGTGTGCACTATTTTAACTTATAATACCGATGAATACTACCAGAAAATCGCTTTCAGTTTGTTTTTAGGTTATTGTTAGATTCATATTTTATTTGTTAATTTCTCTTTGTAATACAACCAGTTTAAAACATATCTTACTGTGTGTTGGTAATATCATAAATATAAATAGACATTATCCCTTAGCCATCTTGGTATTTAGAATTACACTCACAATCAATCAATACATGTCAAACTTAGAATCCATACGACATTTGTGTATATGACAGGCACTATGTTTTGCCGGAACTAGTGAAAGGTTTTACATCGATTTTAAAATATTTATAAATGCTGAATATATCTACAGCTTAGTTTTATATGTACTATTATTCAAGTGTGCACTATTTTAACTTATAATACCAATGAATACTACCAGAAAATCGCTATCAGTTTGTTTTTAGGTTATTGTTAGATTCATATTTTATTTGTTAATTTCTCAGGACTCCGTTTAGATGCAGTAAAACTAATAATTTTATTGTAATCTATGGATTATAAGGAATAAATCGACATGCATTTCATTGATAATCTTTAAAATTTGTAGTGGGCCCATTCTCCATAGAAAAATTGATTGTCTCCTTTGTTACACTGATTACATTCTTTATTTTTTATTCCATTTTGTTAAAAACTATAAAATATACCTAAAATAATTTCAGTGAAAATTTATTCGAACGTATTATAAAATCTCTTTCAATTTAACAATATCAGCTAGATTAACATTTTGCGTTATATAAAACAAACATTATTCTTGCGCTAACGACGTAACAAATACCCAGATAACAATATTAACAATAATAATGTCTGCCAGACCGAATTTCGGTCAAGGCGGCCTGCCTCAACGGAGACTAGCCATCGACGCAGAACAGGATTGTAGTACATAAGTGTATGCGCAAGCACTGGTGCACTCTCTATTCCCTCACTCTCATAATCCAATGTGGGACAATAAACCGACAAGACCGGACGGAGATCAAGCGCAGGATAAACAACGGCTTTATGTACTTTTCGGGTTCTTTACGGGCAACTACTGAGAATTTCTCGACGGAAAAACTCAATAATTATTGAGTTTTTTGGTCCAACCCAGGATTCGAACCCTGGACCTCATGATCAGCAGCCGCATTACTATAGCCAGCTCATGCGTTACCTTGAGGATCACCAGCTGATTGGTGACCGCCAGTACGGTTTTCGTCGCGGTCGCTCGGCTGGTGATCTTCTAGGTTACCTAACTCATAAATGGGCGAAGGCAGTAAAGTCCAAGTGAGAGGCGTTGGCCGTTAGTTTGGACATAGCGAAGGCCTTCCATCGGGTTTGGCACAAACCGCTTCTTACGAAGCTTCCTTCCTATGGGCTTCCTAAGAAATTGTGCAATTGGATCACCAGTTTTCTTGCTGATCGGAGCATCAAGGTCATAGTAGACGGTGCATGCTCCGATCACAAACCCACTAACGCTGTTGTTGTCAAGGCTGCGTGCTACCACCAACGCTGTTTCTTCTGCATAACAATGATATGTTGCAAACCGGTACATTCATTGCTATGCAGACGACAGCACTGGTGATGCCTTATACTGGCTGTGCCAATATTTCTCGGGAAAACGTCTCTGAGTACCGGGATAAACTTGTGTTTGAAGTCAAGACTTTTTTGAACAAAATCTCGGATTGGGGGCGACTAAGTCTACTCCAGTTCAATCCTTAAAAAACACAAGTTTGCGTGTTTACCGCTAAAAAGAACCCCTTCGTCGTATCTCCTCAGTTTCAAGGCACTCCCCCTCGTTGCCTCAGCCAGTATCGGAATCCTCGGCGTCGACATTTCGAGTGACGTGCAGTTTCGTGGTCACTTGGAAGAGAAGGCTAAATTGGCCTCTAAAAAGCTTGGCGTGCTCAGCAGGGCGGGACAGCATTCCATGCCGGCTCACCGCCTGTAAGCTGCCAGCTGCTATTTTACGCTGGTATTCTGTGAGAGCGTGGTCCTTCCCCGGTCGAGTCGACCCTTTCCTGCTACAACCATAATATAGCTACAGCGTGGCTCTATTACGTATATATACGGGCTGATACCGCAACTATAACGCATGTTATTTGTGTACAGTGGTATGTATTATTTTATCGAATGTATTTTAAACCGGCGTATTGATCGTATGGCCAATCCGCTAAATCAACGTTTATAGAATCTCGGACCTTGTTGTAGTTTTGCTATCGACAGCTGTTATAAACGTTGGTCGGCTAGTCATGAATTGTCGTTTTTTCGTATCATGAAACTTTGGTGGGAAAACACCAATAGCGCTTATAAGTTAGTCCTTTAATCAGTTTGGAGTGGCAATTATGCTGTTGAAAATACAATCGGCATAATTGTGAAAATGAGGCAGCACTATTAAGAAATGCATATGTACATGTCCGTGCGTTCTTAGAAATGTAATAACGAAACCGTAAGCACATTTATAGAGAAGAATACTTAGATCTGCTAAAGTTTAATAATAAATGGCGTATATACATGAATTTAAACAGTTATAATAAAAAATATCGTCCTTCAATATCGGAATATATTCTCCCAGTTTCGTTAGTAAAAATAAAAACTTACACATCTATATTATGCGACTGCGCTGACATCTGGTATACCGGGAGGAACGGTCCAATGCGTATTTTTACTGTCACGTCGTTAGGTGGATTCGGTTCGCCAACCTAGAAGAAACATTTAAAGCATTTTTTTTAAATATATGTATAATAATATCCTATCTATTTTATAATTTTAAAATTAAAATTAAGAATGTGAAAGTATTTTTGTTCTTTAATCAAGCTTGAACGCCTGGACGAACTTTATTCAAATTTTTCAATTATTTCGTGGATTAGTAGATCGAAAACTTTTTATAAAAATTACTTGAACTCGGCATGAGGCAGTAGCAGTGTTCCCACGGATACGGTACTTATTCTATCGGTGCCGCTAACACATAATATATAAAATATAATTCTGGTGTCATTTTGTGATTTTCTCGGTGGCAGCGTACGATACTCCATACCCCAGTTTGATCTGTACGTGACGGAAGAGACAACGATGGGAAAGGTCAGCTAGGCCCAGTTTTGACGGTATACCTCTTAATTCATTCCTGGTCCACGTGAGAGAGGCCTAGCTATGTCCATTGGACCACTAGTGGCTTGATACAGAAGAAGAAGAAGCCAGTATGTGGTGTCATTAATGATGCGATAAAATTTGTCAGTCAGCAGTGAAGATTTAAACAACATTCAAAACGTAAATGATGGGGTCCGGCGTTTTCTTTGCTTCCCTCCTTTTTTTTTTTTTTTTTTTTTTTTTGAATAATTTTTTTTTTTTATTTTTTTTGTTTTTGATCTTTACAAACATATGTGGTTTCGTTGTTTTTTTGTCCTTCACTCTCAACTTGTTTTTGAACACTAGCTAATGCTAATACAGTTTAGTGATTTATTTCGAATTCTGAACACAACTATTCAAACGTGTCAAAGTATAGCATCACACGAAATATCACTTTAGTCTCTAAAATTTAAAAACAAAGTATAAAATGTTGAATAATGCTTACCGAGTTTCCAAACGCGAAGAAGACAAGCGGGAACCAAATGATAGCAATAATGAAAGCGAGCACGCCCCCACCCAGCAAATACTTCGAAGTACTGGACTTCTTAACGCCCCGTGGCTGGGGGAACTCATCTTCAACGTACCGAGAGCACTGAAATATATGGATATCAATTATTTTTATGTCCAATAACAATGATGCGTGATTAATTGTTGCACTACAACTATATCATTACAATAACTTTTTAGAAAGTGTAAATTAAAATTATAAAATATATAGTATAAAATAATTTTAAAAATAATTATGGCTTTTTTGCATAATCTTTTTTAGGTCTTAGTAGTAATATTATACTATATAATATATTCTTTTACTGTAAACAGAGCATTCCATCTCATGGGCATATGTATTTTGATAATAATCAAGGGTGGCTACCATTGTCACTTGCTATCAGTGACAGTGCTCTTTATTTTCTCCATTTTGAGTAAATTATCCATGGTTTTAAATTATAGTATTTGAAAAGTTTTAGATAGAAAACAAAAAAGGGTATGTACAATAATAAATATAGAAAAAACATATATTTAATCACTACACCTTCAGAAGGAATACGCTCGCAAATATGTCCTCCATTTTAAGCCAATCCATCAGCGTCATGGACGTGTCCGTCCAAATCCAGTCCATGAGAGTGCGCAGCTCGAACACGAATGGCACCGCCATGAAGCTGTTACAGAAAAATTACATACGTTTTAATATTATCTTAGTTTAAAACGAATGCTATAACTTGAATGAAGTTGAAGTTTGATTATTTTTAATGGATTTAGCTACTTACTAACACGTATTTTATTATAATACAGAAAATAAACAAGATACGTCAGATTAAATAAAATAGGTATTTGTCAGTATTATCTGTTTAAAAAAAAGTAAAAAAAATAAATATTATGGTGTTTATTTTCATTCTTTTCATTTGTTTCTTCTATATAATATTAATTAGATAAATATAATAGTATAATTTATTAGAAACAAATGATTAGAAATAAAATTTGAATATCAGAAACGCCGTGAGAAGGGCGCGTACTCACCCCCTGAAGAATATCATGTTGAGGAAGCGGTAGGACTTGCAGAGGAAGTTGCCGATGATGCGCCGCGGGTAGCCGCAGCGGATCTGGTAGGCGGACAGCAGCAGGTACACGCACTTCACCATGTACCACATGGGCGGCGGCAGCAGCGCGTTAAAAGTCCTGCGCGAAATGTAATCAAAACATTAAAAATCTATATTGACGATGTACGTATATATATATCTATACTTGGCGAATTTGTGGCCTAGTGGTCAAAGTACCTGACTACTACATGGCACTACCTGTATTCAAATCAAATTGTGCCTATATACTAGGTATACATTTTTGTGATATAATTATGTACGCAGTCTGTAATGTGTAAGCAACATTTATGAACACCACTTTTACTAAAACCACTTTGCGCGATAAAATGGAGCAAGCCTCATGTTAAGATTAAGTTAGCATAAGACTCAAAACTCTGACTGTTTTACAGATCTCTTTTGTATTATGATTACTAATGGGACAATTACTTTACGGCGCCTTTAGTTCGAATTATTGATTTCAAAATGATTTCTCTACGGGAATCAAATTGTTTGGTCTGAGAAAATAAAGCTATTTAAACAAACTTCAAAGACACCTTTCGGTGATGAACGGTAGCACAAAGAACATCCAGATGTGTACGCCGATGATGAGCGCATACTGGAAGAGGATCTTGCCGAGCATGAACTTGCGCAGGTAGAGCGCGCGGTCGATGACGATGAGCCCGAACTGCAGGATCAGCATCACCAAGAACGGGATCGGCACCTTGTTCTCCTCCAGGTACGCCTGCACGCCGCCGTCGCCCTGATGCGTCTGTGAGGAATACGCTATTTAAAGTTAAACCTTTTATAACTGCAAAAAATTATACTATGGAATAACAATTATAAATAATATTACTATCGAATATTGGAAAGCTTGTTAAAAGTTTGGCTACTAGGAAAAAGGGTAAGGTATTTTCATAGAAATCTTGAGAATTTAAAATTATAATATTCACATACTACTTAATTTATTTTTCGGTTTGGGATTTGTAGACTTATATTAGTAAAATAACATATACTCTCACGCCTGTCACCCAGAGGGGTAGACCGAGACTACGAACTTTCGTTTGGCACAATCCTGACACACCTATATATTAAACCCACGTAAATTATCTTATCACCCATTCCCTCACATGACACATACCTGTATCCGTATACTACTACATATTTTACAGTTCATTTTGATCTGATGGCAAAATTAACAAGGTAGATTGTAAACACGAATTATATTTTCTTTATTTTATAGACAGTTTATTGACGCCTCACTATTTGTCGTGCTGGATCTGCCGGGGAAGGTTTTATAAAAATATGTTTGTTGGTATTTGAATCAAAAAGTACAAAAGAGTACCATGAAGAAATGAATGCCTAAAAATTTGAAGAGTGGTTTACGACCCTTATGCAAAATCTTCCAGAAGAGTGGAACGATAATGCAAATCCCTATCACTTTATCCAACAAGAAAAGCCTCCCACACAAGCTAACAACAAGGCGGATCTAGTGGCATGATTACATACTCATGGTGTGGATGCTGACATAAATTTATTAAACGCAGAACTGTTAAAATTAGTAAAACAAAATAAACCTGTGAGGTCAAAATACGCCATCGATGAGTTGGCAAAGGAACATAGGCATAAAATTATAAGGACACCACCATACCACTGTCAATAAAACGCTATGTAATAGTATAGAGATTATTTGAGCTCAAGTTAAAGGTCAGTATTTAAATATTTAAATCTAAAAAAACATTTAAAAAAATGAACCGTTGTATACGAATATAAAGGAGAAACAAAGTCTAGAAATATTATAATATTAGTAGATATTTTTCTTCGAATATAGCGGCTGACTGCTGTCGTATTGTCATAGTTAATTTAATCACATATTTATTACATAGAACCCATCTAGCCGTTTGACTGCACAGGGGAATAAAGAATGTAGTCATTATAACTTTACCTCTTTTACAGGCTATGCTGCACGTCAAAATACAAAGCCTCAATTCACCATAGAAGACTAGAACAGACGTACATTTTGACAATTTGATTGAATATGAATTTATTATGAGGTTAACCGACGACAAATACATTAAATAGTAGCAGTAGTAGTAATAGACCGGACATTAGCAACAAAATCCTTATTTTGTGCCTTCAACGCCGGCCGACCAATCACATGCTATTATTATAGCGTCTAACCACCGTACCGCACCGTACTAGCGTACCAAGTGACGTCATCCTAGAAGCCAGCATTTGACTGCTGTTCGAATTGTATCTTAGTTAATGGAAATTAAATATTTTATTTCATGACACAAAAATGAATACTAAGTTTATATGATTTTTTGGTGTGATTGGAGTAATGATAAAGAGATTTATACAATAAAACAATCATGCATATTATTATATCATAAAGCATTTCAAAATTAGTAACCTTCAACAACATTAACGATATTATGATGTCGAAACGGTAACATCACTAAAACGGGTTTTTACCTTATATTTATTAGCGCCACCTATTGAAGAATAGCTGAGATGTTTTTTTCATAAATATTCAGCGTAGTTCTGCTATGTTTAGCTAGAGGGCGTAACACACAGTCAGCTCAAAGTTTTTGTTTGCAAATGTTACCAATGTCCGCTCTATAGTATATATATTTAAATCTCTTTGACCGACGATGACAGTTCAACTGACGATAATTTTTCTGGATCGTCCAGTGACGAAAGTGAATAAAAATTACGGAGTGTAGAAGTAAGGAGTACAGACTGTGTATTAAAAAGTGTCCAGAGAAAATCGTTAAATAAGGGTGGCGCCACTATAAATACAGGGTAAATTTTAAAGAACGTGCCGAAAAATATTAGTGGGATAAACGTCTTTTTCAAGGTTATATTTACTAAATAAAATTATATTAGATTTTAGAGCTACTGAGCAGTTTAGCAGCACACTTAAACCGTCGACAACTGCTAAGTTCATTTCATCCCAGTAGCTACTCCAGCGCTGTTGTGGGGAGTTTTTGAACTGTTATTTACTGCTTACAGATGGCCACTTTTTCAACTATTCTACCATGGGAGTTGGTACTCCTTACTTCTACACTCCATAATAAAAATGTTATTTACCTGACCAAACAATTATTTATTGTTAATTTCATTCTTGATTAGCGACCCGCCTCGGCTTCGTACGGGTGCATATCAGTGCGTATCTGGAGCGTGGAGTGGCGTACCTAGAGCTTTTCCCTAGGTACGCCACTGGTACATATTATACAATGTATTATAAACGTAAACCATCCAGAAGAAATCAGTATGTCGGGTTTTAGTTTATGTCTTGGCTCTGAAACTCGCCCAAATTTAAACTTAGTTTGGATTTATGTAATAACTTAAATATTACAAACTCGTATGTGCAATAAAACAATATGGATCTAGAATCAATTTTAAATGTTGATAAATTGTCGATTACAAACTCTAAGTAATCGATATGTCTCGAGAATCGGTTTTTAAAGCAACCGATTTCTTTTTCCAACATTACACAAAATATTTTTATAGCTGTCAAATCGGGCTTCTTAAATTGTTGCGAGTATAGAAGAGACACCGAGTTTTTTTAAACGTGTTAGAGCCCGCGCGTCTCCTTCCACACACCTGCACTGCCGTACAGTGTTTGTTGTTGTAGTACTTAGTACATATTACTTCAATGATTGCGAGAGCAAACTTTACGCACTTACCCCGAAGGCGGCGAATCCAAAGATGACGACGAGGAAGTTGAGGAAGTCGCAGAGGAACATGTAGGCGTACACGTCGGCAGTGACGCGTGCACCCGGCGCCAGCATGCGCCGGAAGAACCGCTGCGACGGACGCAAGTAGCGCTTCACCCTGCGAGTGCGAGTCACTATACTAAACACTCACACATAATATGGTAATAGTTTTTTTAAAATGATCACATAGTTCGTCTGATGACGAGCATAAATGTTTATAGAGACGTTATATGGCCACAAAACTATCAAAAATATGCCGTCGCAGCGCATATAAACATTTTAATATTTTACTTACATTTCACTACATTCTCTCTCATTCTTCGTGTTATTATCGCACCAGATCTAGAACGTCTATTGTTATCCTTTTCTTTAGGCTTACAATATCAGAGCCTCATATTTGTTAATCAAGGACAGGAGTAGCTAATTGACCACTTTGCGACGCTTCAATGTTCACGTGCTTGTAACATATTTACCTTTTTATATATAAATATCATCGATGGCAAGTGTATATTGAAGCTCTAGGTCCATGGGAAATAGTGCAATAATTGTTACTTTAGCGCAACATCTAACTTTAGTTGAAAGTGACCAATTTTTTCCAGATTTTCAATTCCGAGTTATGTTTAAAGTTGCGAAATTTCAAAAAGGGAGTTTATAAAAAAATGTGGTAAAAATGGTCTCTAGTTCTCTACATTAACCCATAACGACGAAACATAACAGCATTATGCTACTTTAAACTATGGTATGATCTGTGAGATCGTGGTTCTTTCCAGGCCGAGTCGATCTTTCATACTACAGTTATAATACAGCAGCAGCTTTCTCTTTAAAAACTCTTTTTTTTTTCATGAACACATTCATGAACTGTTCACTACGATTTGATCGCCTTGACCAATGAAGATTTCCAGTATACACCACGCTTGCACAACAAATTGGCGACCGCAGCAATCACCAGATTAAGCATTTACATAGTATACGAGATTTAAAACCACAGAATAAAGTTTAGTTTATTTTATTTATAACTAGCGATCCGCCTAGGTTTATTTTTTATAGGATAGGGTGACAAACGAGCACACAGTCCACCTGATGGTAAGCGGTTACGGCGGCCCATAGTCATCTACGTCTGTCCTGGATTACGAAATGCAGTAGATGCGTTGTCAACAGTGAGGACTAAGATTTAATGCCTCGTTTTCAGTAATAAGGGTCTCTTGCAGATGATTTCTGAATTTCGATAACAACGCCACCTACTGAGTTCAAATGTGAATCTAAAGTTTAAACCATCTAGGGACCTATTCAAAAAAAATTTCATCAAAATTGAGTTTGAGCACGACTAACGGAAAGCAATAAATTTTCATTTATATTTTGAAAAAGTGAAGAAAAACATCGTGAGGAAACCTGCATGTCTGAGGAATAAGAAAAAAAATATTTCGAAGACATATGAAGTTCGCCAACACGCATTGGGGCTGCGCGGCGAACACTTCCTTGCCCTAAAACCCTCTCAGATATGAGGGGAGGCCTGTGCCCAGCAGTGGGACGTATATAGACTGTAACTTTACTTTTTACTTTACTTTACAGTTGACGGTACGGGCTCGATGAGTCGCCATTTCTAATCCCATTCTTTATCCGTACGGACTGTACAAATTATCGCTAGTAATCTTTCAGTGTTTGCGCGTAATCTCAATTGTCATCTGCCCGTAAAATTCCACTGGAAATGGGACCACTCCTACTATAGAGGATTGTCCGTTTACCTTTATTTAAAACGAGCAACATAATAATTTCTTGTTACTGTTACTTGTTACTGTTAACTTTACTAATTTCTGTTAGTAGTAAAATGAGAGAAATAGTAATCTCGTTAGTAACAATATTTTGTCTCATTATTTTCAACATTAGCCAATATTTTAATTAACAGAAATATCTCGCTTAGAAGCATATGTTAATAATATTATCGTAATGTAAACTTTTTCATAATATTATATAAATGTTAGCGGCGTTGAGCTTGAACGTACCTTAACCTTCTGGTAATTATATTCAGTATTTCTCATCGCTCACTCAGTACTTTAGGTGCTCATTTTGTTATTTATATAGTACTTTTAAAGATTTTATACGCATTATATAATATATAATCGTTTGCGTTGTTTTACAGCCAGTTTTAAACTTTTTTATTGATTACCATTAGCAGGCAATTCCGTTAATTCTTTAATTTTTTCTTATTATATGATACATATCAAGCTGTATACTATAAAAATACTTACGATAGTAACATCACTTGTGGGTAATGATTGTATGTATCCTCTAATGTTGTCGTTACTGCAATAATCGGCTCTTGATCGTCATTAACTCTGAAAAATTATTTTTCAACATTACCTTTATTTCTTTTTAAATTGATAAAGAAATGTATAGAAATATAATTAATATCACAATTCATAATGCTTATTAATGATAAAACTTGTAACGTATAATGACACACCTCAATACTATTAAATTATTACTAAAAACCATGGTGAATATATATCAAAAATATAATGGCGTTAAATAGCACCGTGGCAGCGTAAGAGATCATCGGAAACATCCATGTTTGTGAACATAATAGATAATTTGTGAAGAAAGGTAGTCCGTTAACACACAGTGTTGTAGCACCGGGAACTCTTTAATGTCTCAATGAACCCAGTCAGAAATAAATATACGATGGGCAGCAGGCATTCAGTAATGGGATGTACATTAAGCTGTTACTTTACTAACATTTTAAAATCTTTAAAACTACGAACATTATATGGGCGTTTTTCAAAAAAAGTGTAGTTCGAAAATTTCTGCTGTCCCAGACATTAACATTTGTTTTTAATTGCATGTAACATAAACCGTAATTTCTTGTACAAAAATATTTATATAATTAAAATTCCATTAAATAAATCTTACATTTAAAAACACAAAAAATTACAGGCGAACGTTATGATTTGACTTGTCCCCTGGTCTCCTTGGCGGATTTACGATGAAATAGAAATGTGTGTGTTTGCCTTAGGAATGTAATTTTTTTGGCTATTTATTGCATATTTCTTCCTAAAACAGATAATATACTCTAAGCCTTTTAAAAGACGGTATAATTTTCTAATTTCTGTTTTTTACATTGTCCCTAGAAAATGGCATGCCGGAAATTCCGGAATACCGTCACGGCAATTTGTATACTCTAAACAAATTAATTTTTAGTCTATTGACGAGTATATCGTTTTGTATTGGCAGCACTCATATTGACAATGTGAACTGCCGCCATTTTGCCACAGCTCTTCCAGTGTCGACTATTACGTGGCGGAAGCAGTCGTGTTGTGCGAAGTCAAAAAGTTTGTTCCAGATTGTTACGTATGTTTATATTGGTAAGTGATATTGTTGAATGAATAGCATTAAAATATAAATTAGCATGTCAAGTATTTGAAATCAGTATAATAGAATGTATAAAGATTATGTCTGATTTAATAATAATTTTCAAACTTTTTGAGCGAAGATTCGTCACGTCCAGATAGTCACGTGATTTATTACCGGAAAGAATTTCGTGACGTCTGGAATTATAAGGCAATATGCACATGTATTTCCAGCAGTGGACGTCGATCGGTTCATGATGGATGATGATGATGATGATGATGACGATGCACATGTATCATAAAATGGTGCAAACACATAAAATCCTATTATTTTTACATAAATCCAAACTTAGGTTTAAAAAAGTTAGTATTTATTACGTATGAAATATCTACAGAATTTTTCAAAATTTTTTTGAAAGAGCCTCCTAGTTACTAGACGGATTTTACTCAAGGAACGGAATAACTTTTTTAGATACCTACTTAAAGAAAAAAACATTAAGAACATTTTATATGAAATATAAAAGTCATATACAAGCTGTATGAAACATTAAATTTTTAGCAATTTTTTATAATTTTAAAATTTTAGCAAAGTTAAATAACAAAAATCATTCAGTTTCATCAGTAAAATCCACTTTGTAAGTAGGTGTAGCCTTTCCAATTTTTTATTTTTTTTTTTTTTAACATAAAAAGTCACACAGTCACAGTTTTTGTTAGCAGAAAAAATTCTCTCTTACTTTCAAACATGCAAAAAATAGATTAAAGAAAAAACAATAGTAGTACCTGGATAACCGAGCTACGCTCGGTTTTAATTAAAAAAATTAAGCTATTAGTTTAATTAAAATTTTCATATTTTTAAAAAATACTAATAAGAAGGGCACGAAATAATAGATTTTCTCACAAAAGAAGGGAACTTGAAAAAAAAGGGGAAAAAGGCGGACCAAAGACAGGACGCGAACCAAGGCATTATGATATCGCGACCGCTCTATATCCACTTGAGCTATTACGACCATTAACGTAATGTCAAAATTTACCATTTTATATTGTAGCAGTTTTTCATTGCCTGAAAACACGGACAAAAAGACATTTTCTAAAAATAAATCCTAGCTAGATCGATTTATTGCCCCCCGAAACTCCCTGGACACAAAATTTTATGAAAATCGTTGGAGCCGTTTCCGAAATTCCGATTATATATATATATATATATATATATATATATATATATATATATATATTTTTTTATATTCAAGAATTGCTCGTTTAAAGGTATAGGATTCATATAACATTATTCAGTAATTCAAAGGACAACGGCGTTTTTCATATATGCATAAATTTTGCATGCACGCGTTCACATATACATACATACATGCATACAATATATGCATACATAATTATTACATCTTACCTATGATGTTGTACAATGGATCGTCATGATACATTCCATTTTTTCTATTTATTACTATAAAGTTTTTTTTTACTTATTTTTAAACCGTTGTTTTGATTTATGCGTAAAGGACGGTTATCCTTTAAATTTGCCAGTGCACTCAAAAAACTACTCTGACTTCAAAACAAGTGGAATTTCTTATTTTGAATTTTTAATTATTTTGATAGAGAAGTTTTAAAAAAATTGCTCTGTGGCTATTTTAAATGACGTTAATAGTGTGCTGGGTGTTAAATCAAACGCGAATTTTGAGTAACGCTTAAAAATTCATGTTACAATCTGGCCGGTGTTTTTTTATTAGATTTCCTTTTGTGACGCATCTTTATATTATATTTTTAATAATTAATACTATATATAATCTTAATATTTTTACCTAAAATTTCAAAAATATGTCCCTTATACTATTATTTAGTAAGTGACAATAAATTTTTGCAAATTAAAAACTTTTGTTTCACTCAATTTCCGGTTCGTCACATGTACACTTTTTTTAAAAAAACGCTCATATATTCTTTGAAATATTATTAATGTTCGGTAGAGCTTACTTGTAATGGTCGTCATCTGATGGCTTGGAGGGACCAGGTTCCTCTTCCCGTTGTTCGTCAAACTCTTGCGGCACAGTTGCTGAATCTGTGATGGGCTGCCTCATTATCCCGTTTGAGCCAACATCAAGGTGTCTAGAAATGAAAATTATTTTTGTTTACATTTATTTACTTTACATTTACACTATATTAGTTAACCAAACAGTAAAATAACAAAAACTGATACATTATACTGGAACCACGTAACGTATTTAATATTACACGTTGTATATTACACTACAAATATAACGTTATATTAAATTAAATAAGTAATTAATAACTTATAAGGTTACAAGATGAGCAATGAAATCATTACTACGCAACACTACTTATAAGGATACTAGACGAATAATACACAAGAATATTACAAACTATATTATATCATTACAGATGTACAAACGAAGTAAGTTTAGTTGTTGGAGGATTTGCGCTAGGTGAGCAAGTTACGAGTATATTATTAAAAAGGACATTATGAATGTGTATATAATACGTTCGGTCGCGTGTTAGTGCGAGACGTTTCCAGAGCAAGCGTGCGTAGTGTGAGGGCGCGCGGGGTAAGCGGGGCGCGCAGGAGCCGCGGAAGCGACCCGAGGGCTCGGCGGCCGCACGCCGCAGCCGCGCGTTGCGTGCACCACTGCCTGGTCCGCAAACTGACCATGTACTATCCCTTCTAATTACTATCTGGGAATATCCACCAACTCCATGTCCACCATTTAGTGTACGACGATAGGGGCCCATGTACAACAGTAGACTGTTAAGAGCATAAAAGTGAGGTAGTTGACTGGTAAAGTTGGCGTTTTTGCGAGATTAATGTTTGCAGTAGTTATTACAGCTCTTTAACAACTAATTGTTTTTATAGAATAGTAGTGACAAACAACCCCACAGTCCGCCTGATGGTCGGCGGATACTTTGGCCGATATACACCTACATCTATTCTCGATCAAGAATCAAAATGTAGATGCGTTGCCAACCCTATAGATAATGATAAGATGTGTTAACCCTAAGATATGTCTTGTTACCAGTAAAAATGGTATAATTACTATTGTTAAGACTTCAATAAAACTTGAGTTCGATAATATAATGTTAACAAAAAAGCGTTGTTTTACACTTCTTCACATTTTTAATTTTGAATTTGTTTATAATATCCAAAAAAAGGCGTTGTCTTACAAAATTTCACATTTTTAATTATTTACCTTTTTTACGTATTTTCTTTAGAGTACAGAGTCTTCTCGGCCAGTATTTTTACACAGCAAAACTTTAAAACAAAACATTTGCATAATAATTTCTTTTAAGTTTTGGTTACAAAGTTTAGCAAAAAAGATAACTATAGGCACAGTATAAAAAGAGTATTATAGTTGTGAAACGAATGATCTTATACAGAGCAACGACGGGGGTCTTGTAGGGCAATGGGCGGCGACCGCGTGGCAGTGCACTCCACTAAGCCTGCTATATAATACATGAGATTAACGCGAGCGAGATTTAAAGTACTAATTTAACTAATTTTAAGTGCCGTTTTCGAAAAATATAATATCTATAATGGTGAATTACTGTTATAGTTATATGAGTTACAAAATAACATTGATTCAAATGAAGGCCATGCTTATGTTTCCTTCATTTTAAGGGTTCTGTAGTTAAACAACAAGGAACCCTTATAGTTTCGCAATGTCCGTGTGTTCGTCCGACCGTCCACGGATTTACTCAGACACCCTAGATGCAAAAAAATCTGTAATTTGGCAGTTATAGATAATAATCACGCCTACAAAACTGTAAAATATAATTTTAAAAACCATTTTTATTTCGGGTACCTCTCATACCGGTAAAGGGACGATGATTTTTGTTCACCTGTCTATTCCATCGTGTGGGGTATTGTTGGATAGGTCTTCCAAAAACATTAGGGGTGTGGAACAACATTTTTTTTCGATTCAGGGTGCGTTTGCGAAATATTTAGCTTTAAAGTGTTATTTTCCATTAGACATGTGTCCCCCGCCCTCCAACCCTCCCTCTACAAACTAAACCGCTCTTTTTGGAAATGTGAAAAGTATACACGATATTAGTAAATATAATAAAGCTAAAAGAAAAACTATCACAGCTAAGTAGAATTAAAGAAGTTAACAAGTAATAGTCGACCAACTTATAAAATGCACATTTAAATAAAACTAGTTTTTACGGATTGTATCGCGTATATTAACATAGTAACGTAAAAACAAGTTTTATTTAAATGCGTAGTGTTCGCGTAAATATAAGAAATATTAAAAATTTCGTTACAATTCCATATAATACAAAATTACCTAAACCTAGTTGCAGTATAACTTTGTAATGTTATTGTAAACTGTAAGAAATAAACATTTTATGAAGAAAACGACTTATATGAATTACTACTGTTGCGCGCCTAAGTTGACGTCATGTACCCGGCACTAGCGCCATCTAGTGTCGGGGCCAGAGCGAGGAGGGCTTCCTAGAGAATGTCAATCTTGACTTTCGACCAACCGCGCCATTTAGTATCGAACTGAAGAATTAAACTTTCTAGAAGCCTCACACTCGAACTTTCTGCGCCTGGTCGGTTGGCGCCCGTATTTACTCGAATATTCTAAAAGTTTCGGTGAAAAATGTGTATTTAAAGGCGCTGCAAGACGCGATCGAGGCAGTATTGAATCATGCGAGACAAGCGAAGCTTCGGAGCGAAATAAAGTGAATCAGTGTGATTAATTATTAGTCTTTTAAAATTTAATTAGTGTTCGGTAATAAAAGGCAGGCAGTTTTTATTGTCACGAACCTCAAGCTCGTAACACTACTATAGCTTTACTTTTTCCTTTGTGGGGTAGGTAGGGAGCATCTTTCTTACTTAATTATTAATTTAGTTTATTTTTTAGTTGGTAGTTATGGGAGGCCTCATTCAAAGTATTCATACTCATATAGCTTCATATAATTTCATTCGTGGTACTAGTTTTGGTTTACGCGGGCGACCCTCAGGATAGTTTAGGGATTTTCGGGAATGTTCGTTACGGTCATATGGTTGCGACAGTCAACTGTGACATCTTTGTACGGATTTGGCATGTGAATGATTTGAAGTAAATTGTATTATTTTCAAAATCGAAAAGTTTGATTGGAAAGTAAGTCCATCAGATACCATTGTCTTTATAGTGGCCCATTTTTGTCGTTATAGTGGTCAAACTGCGAACTTAATATGCTCATTATTAAGAAAGCTCCTTCAAGTTCACGTATTACATTGACACGACGGGCAACTACGGAACCCTACCACATTCTGCGTGGTCCGACAGCACTTGGCCAGTTATTTTTGTTAAATAAAATTGTTAATCTGAATCTCGCATTCGGATTAACAATTTTATTTAACAATATAATAATATTTAATAATCGAAAACTGGAAACATTTATAAAAAGAAAATGTCACGCTCACGTTTAACGTGGTAGAGCCATGCTGCAATGTGTAGTAAGTGGGAGTTGGGGACTTTTTGGAAAGAGGAGTTGTGGTTTGGGCGAGCTTTTTGTACCTATTATCGAAATATTTAGCAGTGGAACATTTATAAAAGTATTCTTTCTTATAGTAATAAAAATAATCTTGTTTAATAAATGTTTTTACCTTTTAAGTATGCACATAATGCTAATAAATGATAATGAGTATTAATATATCCAATATTATTTTATTCCCGATTTCGCGACAAACTTTAGCATATTTGCGACGACGGCGTAAATAGTAAATACCTACACGAGCAGCAGCGTCGGTGGATATAAAAGGTGTTTCCAAACTGTGTTATAGGCGTGATACTAACGGTGCGGTGCGGTGATGCAGCTCTGCGTATTTGCGGCCCACTTCGGCGCCACGACCCTCCACGATGAGGCGCGTGTCCTCCGCTGACAGCTCATACTCCATATCCTCATGTATTTCTACCTCCGGCGATGACTCTTTCCACAGACCCAACGACTTCAGCATGAACCTGCGAAATAAACACATTTAAGATTAATACAGAACCGAAAAAGGACATAGTCAGTCATCGGGTTTGGTATGTTGTCGGAAAAGCCGACATAAACAATAAAATTGCTAGGGTTGTCACAACGGGAAGTAATAAAAAATAAAAAACTGATTTTTTCATTTAGAGAAATAATAAAAATAGGATATAAAAGCAACCTATTTTACTTATCTTCATGACAACCTACATAACACTATAGTTTTTCGTTTGAATATGTGTTCAGATGTAAGTGGAAGCTTTCAAGTTGCATACGAACTATTTGAATATACAAAGGTAGTATATACACACAAAATTACGTCACTAAGATTATCGTCGAATTAAGTTAATATTGCCTATTTCTCCATTTTTGCAGGGAGAAGACGGGAAAGAATTAACTTTAATATCGGTGATATTTTGACGGGTGTTAGTTTTTTTCAGCTATCTTTTTATTATTAAGACTTCTTTTAAGTGGTATTAAACGAACTCAACTACACTATTGGGATTAACTACATAAAAACATATTTACATATGTGCAAGTGATAAATATTTTCGATTATTTTGCATTACTAGATTTTAAATTCCTGTTATACCGCCGTTTTAAACAGCACACGTAGTGTAAACCATTGTAACTTATTTGCAACGTGCTGAGACAGCCCTACCGGACAGCACCCGAACAAGTAATAAACATTTAAATAACGTAAAAACAGAGCCAACATTTATATTAAAAATAATTGTTGCTTTCTACCTTTGGTTGTGGATGATGTTCAAATGTGTCACTTGGACGATCTTATAATCTAAGTGACACATTTGAAAGGGCGAATGTTTTATTTATGCAGACAGTTACAAGTTAGCATAAAGTACACCTGATGGCAATTGGACGATGTGACTTTGTAGACTACATATAAAAACAATCAAAACTCATGCTCGCTTACCAATCATTGAAGCTGCTGCCATAATTTAGCTGCAGTCACGTATAAGCCGTTGCCACGTATAAAAGATTTTGTAAACTTCACTACCTCATAATATTATGATGATATTGGATGAAACAGGAGATAGACAGCAGTATCTTCCTGATAACTTAACATTATAAAAAACTGCAGTTGCCAACCCGCCTGCCAAGCGTGCCAACTATGGCAAATACACTCTTTGAAGCAATCTATGAGAACGGATTATGTTCAGCAGTGGAATTTTAATAGGGTGTGATGATGATGATGAAGATGACGATTATGATGATGAAACGAAAATTGTGGAACTTTATTGAGATGATATAATTATTATTAAGTTGCTATAAACCTTTTAGTTTTGGCATATTCCAAGCAGCAGTGATCTATTAGTTATGAACATACACAATTCCAACGCTCTGTTCAAATCCGTCATTCAACTAACTTTGTAAACTGCTATTATTATTGTATAAATAATAATAGTAAACAATCTTTTTACCCCTATCCTTAGCAATAGAAGTTCTTTATTTGTTTTGATTATTATTATTATTTTTATGTGACTTATATTCAAAGAAAAAAGTATAGAAAGATCAAACATACAAATGAAGTAGAATAGTAATAAATAAAACGAGGTACCTATGCAAAAATATGATGAGCAGAAGTAATAAGTCGTAGAGAGCGTAGTTGTATTTTCTCTCAATGCCGATTATCCTCGGAGCTGTGAAAGGCATGTTGGCCGGTATCGCCTTCTGGTTCCATGGAAGGATTTCGAATTGGAACATACTCTTTATGAGCACAATAACCTTAAAAGAAACACGATTCAGTTAGATAATATCTAAAAAAAAAAAATATGATAAAGTGTGTACCGTATATATTCCTTTTTTATTTTATATTTTAGTAGAATTTCTCCTGTATCGTGAAAGAGTTCTACATACATAAATTCACAAACATCATTCCCGGAACAATTATTTGTATGCCATACAAAAACCATATCGAGCGCTGGGATGAATATGCAACCATTATCCCAAATGTTAACTAATTTGCGTTGTTCTGTACTGATTAAGGGACCAGACTAGCGCAAAAAAACAATCCCAAACTCTACAGACTGTGGTGGATCAGTATAACCAGTGCGATGTAATATATAGACGAAGCTCCGCGCTCGTTCACCCGCTTTTGTAGTGAGTATGAGCCAAATCAATCAAATCACGCTTGCTAAGCTGCCATATTCTTACAAAGAACTATGTCCAGTATTGGATTTATTGAGACAGTTAAGGTTGATGTGTGATGTTATGCGCGGATTGGATTTAATTTATTTAGAGTAGTTTATTTTACTGTTGATGTAAAAAACTTGAAAAAAGGAAATAAAACTAAAAAAAACTTTGGTATTGTTCAAATACCCAACAGTGGTAAAAGTAAAAAGTTACTTTGTATAAGAATTACACGATATTGAACAAAAAATTGTTATTTCTGGAAATATTTTAAATAGAAAAGTTCTCCATTGCTATTCAACCATAGCCTAAATTCAAATCAAAACCAAACCAACCTAGCATAAATACCAAGATTGGCGAAGTTAGGGCAGCGTCAAAAAGGGTGACGTCTGGTAGTGCAATCGTCCGTTTTGTCCGGTTGTCCCTCTGTAGACTTTTACGGGTAGATAATGATGCAGAAGAAATATATTGATCAGTTTACTTCTGGTGTTTTGGAAAAAGTACATTATACATACTTTATTCCAATTATTATAGTATTTTAGCAACTCTTACTTGACTATTAATTTATATTTACTCTGTATTGGAATAAAATATACTATAAAAATGAATACCTCTGTGTATGCTATTAATGTGACCCAGAAAGTTTTAGTTGGCCGTGGTATAGTAAGTGTGCCCCACAGGAATACCATGAGCGGTAAAGGTATGGATAGAATCGTCGCAGACTGAATCTATAAAAGAAAATAATCAAGTATTAGTGACTCCGAAATTTAGCAAAAAATCATGTGTGCAGTTCGCACGCAGTAGAATATAAAAAAAATATTACACGGCAAATGATCTATTTTATAAGATCATTTTCAACCACAAGTACGACATAAAATATGAGATAAATATATGAGCCTAATTCTATAGCGAATAGTAACATTTATTCCTATTTTTAGACTAAATTGTACAGTAATGACTTGTAAATGAAAAATATTTTCTTTCGGGTAAAATTGCTTTGTAATACTGCTATCCACATGATTCTATAGGTAAAGTTTAATCGAACAAAATTGGTTGAATCTTAAGTCGGTACGTAAAATAGATGCTAGATGATGGCCTGAAGTTATAAAATCTATGATGATCTAATGATAATTTTAATCATTGTTAATTTTATTTATTTAACAAAAGTGTAAATTTTTATACTATTTATTTTGACAGCCAAAATTTATAGTAACCACCTTTAAAGCACCTCACAAAGAGAACACCGAGATAATAGGAAACACTGTATTAAAAAAAAACTAGCAATACTAATTAACATTACTAATATTCCCTTTGACCACTTCTGGTTAAAGGAAAGGAAGCTGAAAATGCTTTTGTTAGTAGTCGTTCACGACAGCAGTCGAATGACACATTCGAACCCACAACCTTTTAAGTTCGCGGTCCGCACCCTGCCATTAGACTACTGTCGCTTACACTGTAGTGTATTCTGTCTCATTCTCTCGCAAGCTAAATCCTATAGATGTATATGATTGTCTCTTTTTAGTATCGATTTTCGTGTCACTCAGTTTTAAATCACAATTTTAAAGATGTTTAACTTGACAAAATATTAAGAAAAAAATAATTCAAAGTTGAGTTTAGTACCTGATTAATGAAAACCATTAGATAACAGACGATGTCAGTGTGAGCCAAAATAGCGTACCACAGCGCATAACCCAGATGCACTACCGGCGACTTCTCCTGCTTGAACATGGAGTCATCTTGTTCCTGGAGCGTCGTCACATCTTTGCTGCAAGATTACCCAAATTATTAAAATGTAAATACAATAGATAACCGTGTTGATTAAAGACGCAAAACGTGCACAAAACATCAATAGAAGTAACAAGAAAAATAAATAATCAGTCACCACGAGAAGATGTAGGAAAACGTTTAGAATTTAAAAAAAAATTAACAATAAAATAGTAAATCCATTCACGTACACTTTTATTTGTTTAATTCGAGGTTCGCCAAGAAGATATAAACAAGAGAGCAAAACAACAATACTTACTCCTATACACGGCTACGAATGAAGAGGCTATGACAGTGTACCAAAGTATATAAGTTTTGAAAAATAAAAGTGAGAGAAAGTAACGAGTGAATATCAAATGAAAGCCAAACCCATCACAAGCGACGACATTTAATTTTTGATGTGGAATTTAGGTTTGATTTTAGTAAATTTACTTATATTATATATTTAAATGATAATGAATAAGTATTGAGTAATCTATAATCATTAATATGTAATACAGTTTTTTTTTTCAATATTTATTTATTCATTCTTTACTGAACCTTACACGATAAACAGGAACAAAAGGACGAACTTAATGCTAAGAGCATTCTCTGCAAGTCTATCTTATCTTTTTCTATTCCTTCATACTCGTATATAATTTAATTATAAAAATTTTGGATATTTATGAGTAATAAATATATAATATTTCTTTAAATCAATGGAAACAATATCAGTTCCGTCACAGAAACAATGTTAAAGTAATTTACGTATTAGCCAATTCCATTAAATTCATCATAGTTAAAAAAAAAACAATGCCTAAATTCCACGTCAACAGAAACCACTCCACCTTTCGGTAGTCTGTAAACTAAACACGCTCTCGTGTTCAGAGGTGTCATCCGAGTGCGTCGAGGGGGAGTCCGGGGAGTCCTTGGAGTGAGGGGTGTGGCAAGAGTCGCAGGGGGGCGGCGAGGCGGCACGCGATGGGGGCTCGTCCAAGCCGCGCTCCATGCTCGGTGCCAGAATGCGAATCTCCGGCACGCTTATTTCGCTTAATTTACGGCTGCAAACACCTCAACGAGTCTTACACCCGCATGTGCATTTATTATTGTGCCAAGGAGAACAGTCTAAGAGAACGTGGTTATTACAATAACCTATAGATTCTAAAAATTACATATCAAAACGTGAATGTTATTATATTTTCCGTTCTCAAAACTAACAATAATTTAATAATGGGTGTTGTGTAGACTTTCGTAGCCGTACACATTTGTTTTGTACTAGTAAATTATTCAATGTACTTCTTATTCAACATTGTGTCTCTTTTATTGCAATGCATATTTCATGTAATGCTTAATAAAAAAACCTTGCCAAGCTATGCCAATGACCACATTTTTAACTCAATAGTTAAACTAGATTTAATGGGAATTTAAAAAGAAAAATGTAACATATATTACTTCCTGATATTATGTTAAATCGTAAATGCGCCATCTACATTATGTGCGAGCAACTACAGATTGTGCTAGTTTGAAAATCTTTCTACTTTTTTGCTACATAGTTTTGAAAAATGAGGTATGTTTAATTTAGAGAAATGCATTTTATTGCTAAAAATGCTTTTAATGTATATATAAACTAACTCATCAAATAAAATGTCTAATACTTAATACATGGTATTTACTAAACTGCTAAATATTTAACGACAATAACATGCGTTTCAGTATTGATAAGCATAATACAAACCCCATTTCAACCGAAGGCACCAGAAGATGTTGATTAGTTTGTTCCGTATCTCTTTGCGTACTAGGTAGCATGCAAAAACAAAACTTCTAACTAATAAACTCTATAAAAATTTGCATCTATAAGAAAACTAACAGAATACTAATAAATAAAACAGCAGGATCTAAGGGAACTTTTTCAATAAGCAAATACATTTACGAAAATGTACTATCCTATAAGAGTAAATATTATGAGTTGACATGTAGTTCAGATAGACAAACAAAATATTTTTGTAGCAAAAACACAAAAATTAAACGCATAAATAACTTGATACCCTGATTCTAACTACACACGGCGGAGAGGTAGCCAATTTGGGAAAAGAAAAGGGCGGCGCACCGGCAATGTAGCCGGCACCGACATATTTTAATCGAGCCACTTTCGAACCCTCAAAGTTGTAATTAGCGACCCGCCGGATTCGCCTGGGTGGCATTATGAATTCTCGCCTTTTCTCTACTTTAATATGCATGTATTTACATTTAAACCTTCCTCTTGAATCATTCTATCTATTGATGAAAACCGCATCAAAATCTGTTGCGTAGTTTAATGATCTAAGCGTACAGAAGCGACTTTGTTTTATACTTTATAGAGAAGAGATACAAATTCAGTAGTATTTACAACTAACCACACCAATAACTTTGTAGATATTTTATTTTTATAGGTTAAATTAAATAAAAAAAACGAATTATGATATCGTTTAAAAACATAAATGTGAAAGGGACCAAGCTCCGAATAAACGACGTTCGGGATTATCGTCGTCGATAAAAGGGTTGAGATTTGATCAGTTCCATAGCACTTTACTTAAATTATAGGATCTATAGGAATGGACGTTCTTAGAACCTTTCCAGTTTAGTAGTTTAAAAACATTTTCGGATATGGTTGTGAAGAGTTTCGGTGATATAACGGCACTCGGTCTTACATAAAAACATTTCACACAACTCTTGCGATAGGTTTCGTCCTTTGTTCTGTATTTGGATAGAAATCGTAGCGTGGCACGCTTGGCACTACTTAAGGGTCACCGCTCAAATTAAGTCTTCTCAAGTCTTCTGTACAACCTGTTGAAGGGTATGTATGTGGTCTACGGTAATATAGCCTTTTTGAAAATAGGCTTGTTCGGAAGTCTAGAAGTAGTCAAGTCTGCGTGCGCGACGATTCCTAATGACTCTTTTAAACTGCACGTAGAAGAGGCTCACAACGAATATCCGTCTGTAGTTCTTCGACAGAGGTTTATTACATTTCTTGCAGAACTTTATACGTGGTAGAGCCATGCTGCAATTATATTAGTGGTATAGTTGTAGCACAAAAGGGTCGGCTAGACCGGGAAAGGACCGCACTCTCACAGAATAGCAGCGTAAAATAGTAGTATATACGAAACACAGCAGCATTAAGCTGCTGTGTTTCGTATGGTGAATGTAGAGAACCCGAGACCCTTTTTAATGGAAAATAGGCATTCCATCTTAGTCCTCACGGGTGACGCATCTGCATTTTGATTCGTAATCGAGTATAGATGTACATTTCTATGGGCCGCAGCAACTATTTACCATCAGGTGGATTGTGTGCTCGCTTGTCACCCTATCCTATAAAAAAAAACTATAGTTCTGATCTACGACGCTGGCATAGCATCACCGTAAAAGATGGAATTAAATAGCTTCAGCAGGACTTTAGGTCATCTGTTTATCACCTGCTTTCAGAAACTTTAGTGCAATTTTATCTTCATCCGGCACTTTGTCGTTCTTGAGTTGTTAGAAAACCATTCTAATCCCGTCCAGATTGACGTCCGTGATATCATCGGAATAGTGTAGAATGGGACTTGCCCTTGGGTCCCTACTCGCATTTGCGTGTAATTCTATCGATGATGCATACGTAAAATCCATAAAATTCCTCGATCTGAATCGAAATCACGGGTGCCCCGAAAATGACGATAGATCTGATAGAGATTCGATAGATTTTTGACGATGATTTTTGAGCCCCGGTTCCACTCAATTACTTCTTCAATATGAATTGTATTGAAGCTGCATAAGTCTTCCTGCACACACATAGAGATCTGTTTTTTTACTATTTTTATAGAATAATAATTAGTGACAAACGAGCACACAGTCCACTTCGCGATAAGTTTATGCTATATACCCATAGACACATATATCTATTTTCGATTAAGAATCAAAATATAGATGCGCTTTTACCCCTGAAGACTAAGATGGAATGTCTCATTTCCAGTAAAAAGCGTCCCCGGTTTTCGAAAATCATACGAAGCACAGCAGTATTAAGGTGCTATTGTACGATGATATTCTGCAAAAGCGTAACCCCTCTCAGATTGAGCCGACCTGTTGTTGCTACAATTATAATATAGCTGCAGCATGGTTCTATCACGTATAATATAGCAATACACTATTGGCCAACTCATCAGTCAAAAACTGCAGTCTCATTTAACGTCTAGCAGCCGTTAGGTTAATCACTAAGCTTCAGTTTCATTTCCTGTCTAACCATCATTAGATTAATCTATGATTACTAGACGATTAAGTATTAAATAAACTTAAGTATTATTCCACTTATACGAGAACGAAAACTATTAATTATACTCACTGGTGTGCAAGTGTTTCAGGTAATGGCTCCCAAATCATTTGCGAACCTTCGCGCAGTCCTATGCCGAAGCCTTCCTTTTCCTACAACATTAGCAAATTCAATTTTGTTATATTTTTTATCTTTGACATCGTAAGATGTAGTAAACTTAAAGAATCATGTCCATTATTGACCTGAAAATTTTGTAACGCGTCTAGTGATGTAAAATATCTTATAAAATTGTATATCTTTTTCTTATTTCGTATCGCATAATTAAATTTTCAAATAAAGCCAGGAAAAAAGTAATGTTAATTTGTTTATCCTTCTCAATAGACTTTTGGAGACGAAACGTGTTTTACAATGGCTCAAAGGCTCAGAATTCATGCCAAAATATATTAAAAACGTCTTTTCCACATTTCGTTTCAGACTGCGAAAAACTTGTTCATTCGTCATGTGGTTTATGAATGTTCAAAATAACCAATTTCTTTTTTTATAACTTATTAATTTATGATTAGATACGACTTTTAATAATTTTATACTATGGTGTGGAAATAAAAAGTGAACAGACAAAAAAAAAATAAAAATAAAAGTAATAAAAATGTAAAATAAAAGTGTACAGACTTTATCTGACAGCTGTTATAACCTCAAAATTTTATTTACTTAATAGCTTTGTAACATCCGGAAATGGACTGGGATAAAGAAAGTTGAAGATCTGTTCAGGCTAGCCATGAACAAAGAAGAATTTAGAAGGATGACTGCTGACCTTCAGTAATGGAGAGGCACTTAAAGAAGAAGAATAGCATTTTTCCCTGGCCTCTAAATGAAAAGATGATAAGTTATTATGTTTTATAAACAATAATTGTTTTTATACAATAGTAGTTATAGGTAGACGCGACCTGTTAAAGGAATCAAGTGACAGGTCAATCAATGTATGGAAAGTGGGCATGATTCTTTTAACCCCCGAAAAATCCATGATCCCGTTTCTTGCCATGCGGTAAGGACGTAAGAGAACCCATTGTCACCTTTTGTCCTGTCTTATGACGGATATATAATATATAATGGGATATGCCAGTAAAATTATAAGGCATCTGATAGACAACGGTATACTTTCTCGATTACGCCAAACGACCCAGACCAGACACAAGGAGCAACTTAAAAATGCGAGACGTCTGGTACTGAGATCGACTATCTGATATCTGATGATAACGATAATAATTGCGCATCATGTATGATGTAGGTAAAACGCCACTACAATATAGGACAAATTCTTAATATGTGGGTAATATTTTTCAATAGAGAGAGAGGGAGAAAATAACTTGAATAACCAACATGATATAAAAAAAATCCATCGATCCTTTTTGTATAACTCTATCGGCAACGAAAGTAGAACAAATTTTTTAATTTAAAAAAATATCCAAACAAATTGCAGCACCTTGAGTATTTTCTTTTCGACGGATAGCGTTCGTGACACATAGCGGTAGTCGCGGGAGTACTTCATGAGGTGTCGTGTTAGCGACACTAGGATGCTTGAAATGAATGCCCACGCCGTATCCGTGAAGCACTTCAACTTGTCTATCCATGATTCTCTTTCTGTAAAAGGGCATAAAACTAATTGTTAACAGTTGGTAAAGTCTGTTCGGCAAGAGTTGATACGGTTTTATTAAGTTTTTTATTTTATGCTAACTTTTGAAGAAAAACAAAAAAACGTAAAAAATATTCATATGAAAACGTCTCACAATAGCGACTGTCGCTTTAGTATCGCAATATGTGACGGGCGTCGCTTCTCGTCGCAAGTACATATTTTTTCGACTTAAACTTCATAATTTATTTCACGAAGATATAAGTTATAGAACCATATCTTAGAATTTAAGCTATATCATTCACTTTAAAAACCGTCGTGATAAAACACAAACTAGTTATTTAACACGTCAAGTTTTCAAGTATCTCCTAGATATTAAAAAATATATTGAAGATGATTACGGAGATACAACTAAAGACACAGATTAACAACAAATAATTAATGTAAAAATCAAAAATACTAATTACCGGGTATCGGTGCAAAGTCGTCAATGTCTGAGGGCGGTCGGTCACGCTCCGAGAGTTGCACGTCGCGTTCTTCCACTGGGTCCGCGGGCGGCGTTGCACTACGAAGCTGTACCGTAAAATATATTTAAAGAGACAGGAAACAGCATAGATATGGTATTTATTGAACATAAAGCCTTTGTACTGGTCGTACCTTCGATTTAATATGGAATATGAGCCCCACTTACAATCGATTCTCTGTCTGCTTACATAAAAGTATGAAATGAAATGTGTAAATGCCATATTTAAAAAAAAATTGTGTTTGAGCTATGCAAACAAACCGAGACAAGCATGGTCACTAAAACAAAATCTAAGATTAAAAGTTTAACAGTATATACATAATATGTTATATAATATGCATGTGCATATTATATATATATATATATATATATATATATATATATATTATATATATTTTTAATAATAATTTTATATGTTAAATATATATTTTGTTACAAAGAGGGGTTTCATGAAAAATAGTTTCTCAGACTTCTCGTAGACAACGCAACTTAAAGGAAATGTATAAATGTTAAAAAGTAAAGATAAACAAAAATCCAACGAAATCCGCAGATACATCAACAAAAAAAATTATGTTACCATTATAATAAAACCAAGCTTATAAAAACAACATATACTACATGGACGTGCATAAACATATACAGAACTAAGAAACAGGCTAAATGAATCATGCAAAAATTGATTTTCAATATTACTTACCTCCTTTTCGTAGAATTAAGATATTACAGTGTATTTAAGTTAAATGAGAATGTATTTAAAGGGACGTCCGAGGCGAAAGTTTGTCAACCAAATTGGCGATATACTAAAAATGGGCCAAATTAAGAGTACCCTTAACCGACGAGCATGTATGCGTAGGTATATGGATGTGGAAGAGGCGAGAGGTATGTCAGGATCGTGCTAAATGGAAGTCTGTAGTCTCTGCCTACCCCTCTGGGTGTGTGTGTCAGGCGTGAGTGTTTATGTATGTATATATATATATATATATATATATATATATATATATATATATATTATATATATATATATATATATATATATATATATAATAAGATTTAACTAATCTGTGATAGAGATGTGAGATGAAAATTTAAATAATTATTTTAAAAATGACTTAACATTAAAATTTAAACCTAAGATAGGAAGTGTGTATTTTCTTTCATACATTTTTTTTGCTTATATTTGTTATTAAGATTAAAAATTATCTGTTATATCGAACTTGGGAAATATTAGGTATATGAAATAAGTACATCATTATTTTATATTAAATAATAGTACTCCAAAAACCAAAGTACTTATATGAAGGTATAATTACAACAGTATTATGGACACTTGAATATCAACGAGATAAATTTTTAAGTTGCAAATATTAAAGAAATTCGTGTTACCTTTATATTTTATGTTTAGATATTATAGTTAATATAACCTGTTTAGATTTTTATGAAGTTTTGTGTCCTTTTTTATTTGCATTAAATCCTATGAGCGTTAATTACGGAAAGCATAGCTGCAGATATCACAGTTATGAATACCATAATTATGGAGATCCGGTTTGTGAATCAAAAAAGTTTGCAAAATTTCAGTCGATCGTTTTGCTTGCAATTGGCACACATTAGCTTGGCGATAGCAGGAAATGTGTGCCAAATGCATGCAACTTTTAGCAGCGTCATACATTTCATATTCTCATTTCATTATCTTAAGACATTATCAAGCGTTACTCGTAACAAATGTCTGCGTGTACACGACATGACACGTACGTGTGCGAAATGACATGTACTGAATGAGGACACGTTGAGTAATTTATTTAGTAACAAACGTGATAGACAGCCGCGTATTCGAGGACGACACGTGTAGTGTGTTGCCAAGATAATTCAAATTTGCATTTTTATCATAATTTAATCCAGTGGTCGAAATTCTGCCGTTATTCATAAAATTTTTATATTTGTATAGTAAGTATATTCAAGTAATTTACTATTTCAGTTTGAACTCTTAGTATTTTCTATGCTTTTACACATAGAACCGCACATCAATATATAAAACACAAAATAAGCAAAATTTAAAATCAACGCTTTTTCGTCTATTCAAAAAGGAACATACAAAATCACACAAAATGCACAGCTCATTCAGTCAACTGTTAGTAACATATTAAACTTCTTTCATCTCTTTCTGTGCGACTGTTTGAGTTGAGTTGACAACGATATCAGTATCATTCAGTATGACCGTAAACAACAAATTTTTTATGTTATTTGTTTTTATAACAAATATTATATATGAATTTTGTCTTTATATACTTTTTATATCTATATAAACTTTAACAATGTTAAATCTCATACTCTACCGTGTGGCAATATGCTTAACACTTTCGCTGTTTGGTATCAGACACAATAGTAAGACAAAAACGATGACCTATATGTCGTGTAGTGCACGGGGCAGCGAAAGGATTAAAAAGGGGTACAAAGTGTTCCCTTCGCGTAGGAATATATAGATAGGTAAGTATGTGTGTGCACGTTACCTGGTGCGGGTAGGAGTGCGGGTGGCTGGCCAGCGAGAGGCGGCGCTGCGAGCGCACGGCAGGCGCCGACGCGCGCCTCGCCGACACAGCGCGCCGCAGGTCCGTCTTGATCACCGCCGACAGCAGCTGCCGCGCCCACCCAAACCCAAACCACACCGCTAACCAACAACTGTCGCTTCCCTTCCCGCTTCTCTAACCGTACCCTCTTAAGTTATTTTTAACCTCTGCTTATTATTCTCATCTAATCACCTCACTCGTGTTTTCTGATTATACCCTACTCATAACCTTTATTTGTAAAATATTGAATCGATTTTAATAGATATAATATTACAATTAATAGGGGGCTTCAAATTATCATTTTTTTTTAATTTGATTCGGCCTATAACTTTAAATGTTACGATACTGGGACATATTAAAGCAAGCTAAATTAAATTTTAGATAGAAATAGCTTATGTGTGTTAACGAAACGAATTCATTTTCATCATTATTTTATAGAAGAGGGGGCAAAGAGCGAGCCGCTCACCTGATGGTGAGTGACTACCGCCGCCATGAACAAATGCAACACCAGGGAAATTGCAGATGCGTTGCCGTTGCCGGCCTTTTAGAAAGGAGTAAGCTCTTTTCTTGAAGGTCCCTAAGTCGTATCGGTCCGGAAAAGTCGCCGGTGGTAAACAATTCCACAGAGAAGTTGTACGAGGAAGAAAACTTCTAGTAAAACGCACAGTGGTGGACCGCCAAGCATCCAGATGGTGAGGATGGTATCGTGAATTTTGACGCGATGTGCGTTCGTGAAATTTTTCGGCTGAAACTAATCCAAGCAATTCCTCAGAACACTCGCCATGGTAGATACGATAGAAAACGCAAAGGGATGCAACATCCCTACGCATGGCCAGTGAATCCAGCCGATCAGATAGAACTCGGTCGTCAACGATTCGAATCGCTCTGCGCTGGATGCGGTCAAGTGGAAGGAGCTGGCACTGGGGTGCCCCGGTCCAGATATGAATACAGTATTCCATGTAAGGCCTAACTTGCACTTTATAAAGTTGCAAGCGGTGTGCCGGCATGAAATACTGTTTCGCTCTGCTGAGCACACCAAGCTTTTTTTGGTGGCCAATTTGACCTTTCCCTCCAAGTGACCACGAAACTGCACACAATCAGCTAGTATCGGAATCGGAATCGGTCGACATATGTCGACGCCGAGGATTCCGATACTAGCTGAGGTAGCAAGGGGAGTGCCTTTCAACTGAGGAGATACGACAAAGAGGTTCTTTTTAGCGGTTAACGCGCAAACTTGTGTGTTTTGGGGATTGAATTGGACTAGATTTAGTCGCCCCCAATCCGAGAATTTGTTAAGCAAAGATTCGACTTCAGACACAACTTTGTCCCGGTACTCGGTGAAGATTTCCCGAGAAATATTGGCACGGCCGGTGTATAAGGCATCACCAGTGCTGTCGTCTGCATAGCAATGAATGTTATCAGTTTGCAACATGTCATTGATATGCAGAAGAAACAGCGTTGGTGATAGCACGCAGCCTTGTGGAACACCAGCGTTAATAGGCTTGTAATCAGAGCATGCACCGTCTACCACCGTCCCCGTAAAATTTAGGAAGAATTTGCAAATTTTACAAATAATAAACCAAACTCTCATTCCTAAAAAGAGTTAACTTTATTATTATTTAACGTAATCAAATAATTTTATTTACTGTATTGACTGTACATTATTATACTATCTATTAATATTTTATCACTGGGAAGCAACAATTGTTCGTTATAATAAATAGAAAGGCTGTGTAAGTGATTGCTGACAGTTTGTTAGTCACCTTAAGCATCCCTAAGCTAAAAGCCATATAATAAATTAGTATTTTCTTCTTTTGTTCCTGATTTTATACCATTTTATTGCCCATAGACAACTCTTCTTATTAATATAACCCACACTAACATAAACATAGGGAATAGAGCATGCTGGTTTAAAACCAAAAGGACACCACTTAGACATTACTTACCACTACAAAATTTACCTTTAAATAACATGCTCAACACCAATATATATTATATCCTAAGCATACCACAACCACTACCACAGGCTTAATAATATAGATTTTTAGTCACAAAAGTAAATTCGACATAATATAATAAAACTGTCACCTTTCCAATTCCCATTTCTTTAGGAGCATCTTCATCAGAACTTGACTCGTCGTCTTTCATATGCAATTCGGTGTCATCGAACTCGTCAAACATGTAGTAGTCTCCAGAGCGTACAGCTGTATACGAAAAGCACTTTTAGAACAGTTTGTTATTTCTGCAAAAATTGTATGAATTCCAAACGTAGTGAGTGAGGAAGATGAATGTTAGCGAACTTAGATTCCAGTTTCTCATATTTGTTTAATTAATTATTTGTGGTTATAAGTTACAAAGATTTTAGATTAAATATTTATTTCTACATATTTTATAGTATTAAAATAAGGTGAAAACAGTTCTATAACGTTAATAGCATAACGCGATACAAAAATGTGTGATCAAATTGACAAAATTTCAATTGTGAAATTAAATTTATTGCTAAGCTGTTATAGAGAATTGTGCTGGTCTTAAATTAAGCAATGTAATACCAAAAAAATGTAAAATATGGGGAACATGTAAGATATTATAATACAAAAAAAAAATTGTGCGTACACACGTATGAAATGAAACTTCTTTACGACATATCATTCTTCTTTTATTTTATATTTTACATAAGTAGGTTAAATTAAATAAAAGTGTTTCATACAGCCCCGGCGCGGCGGTGGAACTTAAAAAGAAAACGTGACGTTTTTTAAACCACCGTACTAAATTTTTCCATTACGTCGATAAAAATGTTTCACTTCCATAATAAATAGTAGGTACATGCAACAACACGGACAAACATCATGCCAGCGATTGTGCAAAAAGTCCATAAGCATTTCAAGCACAAATATGCAGCAGGTGCGTCGGCGTATTCTGTCTTAAGATTTAGCCACACGTGACAATAATTTATTTACATATTTTACATTTGCTTCGATCCAATAGATTTATATAACGATAAGACAGCTCCCGCCAATACAATGCAACCAACTTGCCTACATACCATCACCTAGAAGCTTAAATGTTAGTAACGTAACACAATGTTAGGGCGAGCATATTTGTACGAGACACAACGTTACCCTTTTGATGGCTGGCGGGCGGCTTATACGGCGGTCTGACCCGTGCTACAAGAAAAACGCACAACTCAACACCACAATCTCACACCTTAAGATAAAGCCATAGAAATAATTTAGATTACAGGTAACAGACACAACTTAGAGCTGACGCAGTTAGAAATTGGAATTGCACCCACACGGCGTTGCAGAAAGTTATTTTTAAGCGCACCTGCCTGAGAATTAGTTAAACCAAATGAACATAATCATTAATGATGGCAGAGAAATTTAGGTGCTTATATCATATGGACCTCGAAAACGTGAAAACTTAAGTTGTTCTCCAATTTTCTAGGTTTATGAAATATCACAAAAAATAATAACTCGGAAGAAAGTTTTTTATGGAACGCGTACAGAGAGTAAGTTACTACAAGTATTCCCACACCAACCCTTTCTTAATGTCGACTATACCTTCGTGTCGCTTAGTGTACACACGTCGTCTAGTCGCGGAATCTGTTCCGCTACCTATGTAATAAAAATGAAATTTTAAGATAAAACATATAGACCTGTAGATTAATGCTTTACATTATTTACAAAGTGAAACATTGAAAAATGTGTATTTATTTATTTGTGTTCATCCCGAGGTTTCACGGGCGACTTGTTGAAAAACAATTCACATCTAGATGTATTTACTGGAGGCTAAACGTGCAGAATATAAGATTAGTTACACGTATGATGAGAGTTCGGTTCGGCGCGACTCGAGTGCGATATAACGGAAGTCCGGTGTAGGAGGCTGGGGCTGGCCACCGTGTGGCGGCGGCGGATTGGAGGCGGCGAGAACACCGGGTACGACTCCTCCGGACTCTGCGCTCGCGGTAGCAGATCCGACGACGGAGGGGACTCGAACGAGATGCGCCTCGGCTCCAGGTACGCGTCGAGGGACACCGTCATGAGGGCAGAGGAGGGCGAGGGGGGGCCACCCTGCGAGGTGGGGGCGGGAAGAGCGGCTGGTGGCGGGGAGCGCGGAGGGGAGCGTGCGGGGGACGGTGGGGCGGATGCCTCGCTGACGGGCGTGTGGAAGCCGCGCGGCGAGGCAGCGCTGTCAGGCGTGTGGAAGCCGCGCGACGCCTCCGAGTCGCCGCACACCAGCGGCACCCGCTCCGATTCACCCTGACGCGAGTCCTTCTCCTCTTCTTCTTTTGTTAGCGACACAATACACGCGTACGATTACAAATAGAAATTTAAAACGAATTATATAAAACACTAACAAGGAAAACGGTTGCTAAATAAAAGTGGATAGATATTGTGTATCATCTGCTCTTTATATGACCTCAAAATATAATAAAAATTTGAGCAATAATCAATTACTTTGGGATTGATAATTAACTTTTTTTCAATAAAAGTCGCTTCCGAAGCTATTCTAATAATGTTTGAAATAATAGTTATAAGCCGCACGCAAATGGCTTGCCGATAATCACCTACTTACTCACACCCGCCAACCGCGAGCAGCACTTTTAGGTCAGTACTGGTTTTTTTTTAAATTCTTGCATCTAGTTAGAGCCTTTGCATATCTCATCTCTAGTCTGCACATTCTTCTCAATTACTTCATCATGTTGGACATGATGTAGGTCAAGTACTTATTTCATAATATTCTTTATCGATTTTTTAATTTTATTTTTCTTTTGTTATCTATGTTAACTGTTTTTATGATATTAATTTATAAGAAAATTTTTATACTATAATACAACCCAATACTATTATCATAGTATAGCGTTAAAAGTCGATTTGTGGTACAATTTTAGACGTAGTAGAGCCATGATGCAGCTATATTAGTAGTATAGTTGTTGCACGAATGGGTCGGCTCGACCGGGAAAGGACCACGCTCTCACAGAATAACAGCGTTAAATAGCAGCGGAACGCCGCTTTGTTTCGCATGGTGAGTGTAGAGAAATGGAGACCCTTTTTACTGGAAACTAGGCATTCCATCTTAGTCCTCAGAGGTGACAACGCATCTGCATTTTTATTCGTAATCGAGGATAGATGTAGGTGTCCATTGGCCACAGCAACCACTTTCGATCTTTTTTTCTTTATACTATTAAAAAAAATCTTGCCCATACACTGGCTGCATAGAGCACGATCGGCTCGACGACTGACACATAGATCGTCCTGATGATCTCCGAATTCAATCCTCAAGAAACGTTTGCTGTCTTTACTAACTGCTTGTATATATTTGTAACCTTACGACATATATGTAAAACATGAATGTGGAAGGTTAATTTTTTTATCTATTATAAGGCTTAATAATTTAATTTCATCTATTATTTTTATGTTAGTTCCTTCCATGTGGAGAGTGATGTATCATCGTATTTAAGTTTCTGGATGATAGTTATTGCATTGATTTTGTGTGCAACAAAATCTAGTTTGTTACGCACACCCCAATCATACACAGGAGTGAGTATTCTAGTGGCTTTTTATATTATTCTAGGCCAGCGCTTAACTACACTCCCACCTGATGGTAAGTGGTGATGTAGTCTAAGACGGTGAAGCGCACTGACTTAATAAAAGCCTATTCACTATTGCCTTGAAGATACTCACATTATATTCGGATAGAAAGACAAAAACTGGCAAATTATTTCACTCCTTTGCTGTAGCAAACCGTTTGGTTCGAATGCGCGGTAAGTACACAACGAAAGGGTGGAGACTGGCATCATCTGTGTTCGAGGCTGGTAAGATTGGTTTTCACCAAATTTGGGTCACCAATAATCCTCTTAGCACGCCTTTCTATTGAGTCCAAAGCTGCTAGGTGGCATTTTGCAGCACCAGCCTATATATGGCAGCAATATTTCATGCACGACCGGACTTGCGCTTTATACGAAGTAAGTAGCAGTCCTCAGTTATATTTTCTTTTAGATAATTTTTACATATTATTTTAAAATCTGTCCAGTTAGCTTTTTTAGTTACAAATTCTAGTGATTTGTGTTTTTATTTTTTCTCGCGATTTGTCTAAATTAACGAAGGAAACTATTGCACTATGATCTGAGCTTATTAAATCCTTATCTACCCTCCAATGTTGAATATGATTTAGTAAACTTTCGTTACATGCTGTCATGTCTACTCAGTACCATAAGCACCGCTTCCGTTACAAGCGAAGTCATGAGTCATGAAGCTATCGGCAAATCTTCTGCGCGCGGATTATACTATTATTTCAACAAAGATTTAACTGAACTTTAAAAGAACGTCGAATATACTTTGGTTAGCTTTTTTTTCTATAAAATACATCAAAATTCAAGTTTATACAACGAAAATATTATTTCTTTTTCTGTTTTTTGAAGTGTTTCTGTTAGTTTTATTAAACAGCAGCAGGCCTTAAACGTTTTCTTACAGAAGAGATGGATATAATTATAGTCAAAAACTAATCACAAATGTTTTCTGAACTACTTTAATAAATAAATATTAACTATTTTTATATATTTCATACCAGTCAGTTTATATTTTGCATAGCTTTTTTAACGCTATACTATGATAACTAACAAAGAGAAGTATTTAAATGTTATTTTCACGACATTCTAAATGTGTAGTGATCTTTGTAATATATTTTTTTATTTATGTAATAATACAAATAATTAATTTACTAACCGGCATCGTGCTGCAGCGGTTCCTTAGTCATTGCACCTTGTATTTTCTTTTGATTAGCCTTTATCCTTTCCATCTTCACCTTGATTTTTTCTAATATCTTTACCTCTTGTTCCTCTTGTACCTGCATTTGTTTTTGTCGTAACTCTTCAATCAACTCCGCACCCCTTTAAAATTACCAATAAATTCTTATTTTGGTAACAAAAAATTATCTTTAACATCGGTAACAACAGTTGGTAACATAAATACCTGGAGGCAAGTACGGTAGTCGCTTTGCTTTCGTCAATAACCCTATAAAAGTAATAGCTATGGAACAGTCTTCGTTGAAGAATAAGAAAAGCAAAGCAGACACCATCCCAAGCGAGACCTATATCTTCCTGAGGCACTGAACACGCAGAGTCCTGTAAAGTAACAAACGATTCATTGAATGTATATGTAGGCACCTGCGTCGTCGCACGTGCAGCAGCGCCTCTGTGGCAAGTCGAAAACAACGCGTGCAACGCACACCTGCGTGTTGCACCTGCAGTGGCGCTCGTGTAGCTACTTATCTCAATTGTATAAAACTTACGGAGCAGCCGCCGTTAAAGCAGTCTTGGCCCTAGCGTGGCACGGTGCACTTGTTGTATTCCGCTACACTAGCTAATCTTCGACTCTTTGGATAATTAATTCGTGGAAACGAATTAATTATTATTCTCGGCTTCTAAATTAGTCTCAGCGCAATTTATCGTTGATTAGCTATGAACTGTGTTTTTTATAGTTGTGCAAAGTAATAAATTGTAAATTAATTCTATTTAAAAGAAATGTCCCGCTGGGTTTCTTGCTGGTTCTTTCCAGGACGGGGGTTTCCTTCGAACCAGCGGTCATACTATATTGAATAAAATGATTATATTCTAATCTAAAAGCCTTTTATTTAATAACCCCACACTACAATTACATTATAAACTATCTTACTACATATATATACGAGATGTTGTATGATAATCAAAAATAAAACAAAAGTAAAGTGCCTATAATTATGCATAGCCTATATAGTTATGTATCAGCTTGTACAGGTTATTTTTCAAAGGGTAGCCAAATTTTAAACTTACGTTCAAATATATAAAGAATGATACTGTTATTGCAGTTTTTGAAAATACGATTTACTTTATTTGAAACTACCCCAAATTGAATGTCATTTATAGGCAATATAGTTTTTCCCTAGCGATCCGCCCTTACAAATGCGTGCGTGCGCAGTAAAAGCTACAGCCGAGTGTGCAGTGGCGCTCACCTTGTCGTACTGCATCTTGAGGAACCGTGCGATGTTGCCGCGCTGCAGCCGAGTGTGCAGTGGCGCTCACCTTGTCGTACTGCATCTTGAGGAACCGTGCGATGTTGCCGCGTTGCAGCCGAGTGTGCAGTGGCGCTCACCTTGTCGTACTGCATATTGAGGAAGCATGCGATGTTGCCGCGTTGCAGCCGAGTGTGCAGTGGCGCTCACCTTGACGTACTGCATCTTGAGGAAGCGTGCGATGTTGCCGCGCTGCAGTCGAGTGTGAAGTGGCGCTCACCTTGTCGTACTGCATCTTGAGGAAGCGTGCGATGTTGCCGCGCTGCAGTCTAGTGTGCAGTGGCGCTCACCTTGTCGTACTGCATATTGAGGAAGCGTGCGATGTTGCCGCGCTGCAGCCGAGTGTGCAGTGGCGCTCACCTTGTCGTACTGCATCTTGAGGAAGCGTGCGGTGTTGCCGCGTTGCGCGGGTGCAGTGGCGCTCACCTTGTCGTACTGCATCTTGAGGAAGCGTGCGATGTTGCCGAGTTGCAGTCGAGTGTGCAGTGGCGCTCACCTTGTCGTACTGCATCTTGAGGAAGCGTGCGATGTTGCCGCGCTGCAGTCGAGTGTGGTGGCGCTCACCTTGTCGTACCGCATCTTGAGGAAGCGTGCGATGTTGCTGCGCTGCAGTCTAGTGTGCAGTGGCGCTAACCTTGACGTACTGCATCTTGAGGAAGCGTGCGATGTTGCCGCACTGCAGTCGAGAGTGCAGTGGCGCTCCCGTTGTCGTACTGCATCTTGAGGAAGCGTGCGATGTTGCCGCGCTGCAGTAGCGCTCACCTTGTCGTACTGCATCTTGAGGAAGCGTGCGATGTTGCAGAGCTGCAGTCGAGTGTGCAGTGGCGCTCACCTTGTCGTACTGCATCTTGAGGAAGCGTGCGATGTTGCCGCGCTGCAGTCGAGTGTGCAGTGGCGCTCACCTTGTCGTACTGCATCTTGAGGAATCGTGCGATGTTGCCGCGCTGCAGTCGAGTATGCAGTGGCGCTCACCTTGTCGTACTGCATCTTGAGGAAGCGTGCGATGTTGCCGCGCTGCAGTCGAGTGTGCAGTGGCGCTCACCTTGTCGTACTGCATCTTGAGGAAGCGTGCGATGTTGCCGCGCTGCAGTCGAGTGTGCAGTGGCGCTCACCTTGTCGTTCTGCATCTTGAGGAAGCGTGCGATGTTGCCGCGTTGCAGTCGAGTGTGCAGTGGCGCTCACCTTGTCGTACTGCATCCTGAGGAAGCGTGCGATGTTGCCGCGCTGCAGTCGAGTGTGCAGTGGCGCTCACCTTGTCGTACTGCATCTTGAGGAAGCGTGCGATGTTGCCGCGCTGCAGTCTAGTGTGCAGTGGCGCTAACCTTGTCGTACTGCATCTTGAGGAAGCGTGCGATGTTGCCGCGCTGCAGTCGAGTGTGCAGTGGCGCTCCCTTTGTCGTACTGCATCTTGAGGAAGCGTGCGATGTTGCCGCGCTGCAGTCAGTACAGGCGCTCACCTTGTCGTACTGCATCTTGAGGAAGCGTGTGATGTTGCCGCACTGGAGTCGAGTGTGCAGTGGCGCTCACCTTGTCGTACTGCATCTTGAGGAAGCGTGCGATGTTGCCGCGCTGCAGTCGAGTGTGCAGTGGCGCTCACCTTGTCGTACTGCATCTTGAGGAATCGTGCGATGTTGCCGCGCTGCAGTCGAGTATGCAGTGGCGCTCACCTTGTCGTACTGCATCTTGAGGAAGCGTGCGATGTTGCCGCGCTGCAGTTGAGTGTGCAGTGGCACTCACCTTGTCGTACTGCATCTTGAGGAAGCGTGCGATGTTGCCGCGCTGCAGTCGAGTGTGCAGTGGAGCTCACCTTGTCGTTCTGCATCTTGAGGAAGCGTGCGATGTTGCCGCGCTGCAGTTGAGTGTGCAGTGGCGCTCGCCTTGTGGTACTGCATCTTGAGGAAGCGTGCGATGTTGCCGCACTACAGCCGAGTGTGCAGTGGCGCTCACCTTGTCGTACTGCATCTTGAGGAAGCGTGCGATGTTGCCGAGCTGCAGTCGAGTGTGCAGTGGCGCTCACCTTGTCGTACTGCATCTGGAGGAAGCGTGCGATGTTGCCGCGCTGCAGCCGAGTGTGCAGTAAGGCGCTCACCTTGTCGTACTGCATCTTGAGGAAGCGTGCGATGTTGCAGCGCTGCAGTCGAGTGTGCAGTGGCGCTCACCTTGTCGTACTGCATCTTGAGGAAGCGTGCGATGTTGCCGCGCTGCAGTCGAGTGTGCAGTGGCGCTCACCTTGTCGTACTGCATCTTGAGGAATCGTGCGATGTTGCCGCGCTGCAGTCGAGTATGCAGTGGCGCTCACCTTGTCGTACTGCATCTTGAGGAAGCGTGCGATGTTGCCGCGCTGCAGTCGAGTGTGCAGTGGCGCTCACCTTGTCGTACTGCATCTTGAGGAAGCGTGCGATGTTGCCGCGCTGCAGTTGAGTGTGCAGTGGCGCTCACCTTGTCGTTCTGCATCTTGAGGAAGCGTGCGATGTTGCCGCGCTGCAGTTGAGTGTGCAGTGGCGCTCACCTTGTCGTACTGCATCTTGAGGAAGCGTGCGATGTTGCTGCGCTGCAGTCGAGTGTGCAGTGGCGCTCACCTTGTCGTACTGCATCTTGAGGAAGCGTGCGATGTTGCCGAGCTGCAGTCGAGTGTGCAGTGGTGCTCACCTTGTCGTACTGCATCTGGAGGAAGCGTGCGATGTTGCCGCGCTGCAGCCGAGTGTGCAGTAAGGCGCTCACCTTGTCGTACTGCATCTTGAGGAAGCGTGCGATGTTGCCGCGCTACAGTCGAGTATGCAGTGGCGCTCACCTTGTCGTACTGCATCTTGAGGAAGCGTGCGATGTTGCCGCGATGAAGCTGAGTGTGCAGTGGTGCTTGCCTTGTCGTACTGCATATTGAGGAAGCGTGCGATGTTGCCGCGCTGCAGTCGAGTGTGCAGTGGCGCTCACCTTATCGTACTGCATCTTGAGGAAGCGTGCGATGTTGCCGCGCTGCAGTCGAGTGTGCAGTGGCGCTCACCTTGTCGTACTGCATCTTGAGGAAGCGTGCGATGTTGCCGCGCTGCAGTCGAGTAAGCAGTGGCGCTCACCTTGTCGTACTGCATATTGAGGAAGCGTGTGATGTTGCCGCGCTACAGCCGAGTGTGCAGTGGCGCTCACCTTGTCGTACTGCATCTTGAGGAAGCGTGCGATGTTGCCGCGCTGCAGCCGAGGTGTGCAGTGGCGCTCAGCTTTGTCGTACTGCATTTGGAGGAAGCGTGCGATGTTGCCGCGATGCAAGCTGAGTGTGCAGTGGTGCTTGCCGTTTGTCGTACTGCATCTTGAGGAAGCGTGCGATGTTGCCGCGTATGCAGCTGCGTAGTGTCGTACGCAGGAGCTGCGATGGCCGGTCAGTTCTTGCCTTGTCGTAATGCATCTGGAGGAAGCGTGCGATGGTGCCGCGCTACAGCCGAGTTTGCAGTGGCGCTCACCTTGTCGTACTGCATCTTGAGGAAGTGTGCGATGTTGCCGCGCTGCAGTCGAGTGTGCAGTGGCGCTCACCTTGTCGTACTGCATCTTGAGGAAGCGTGCGATGTTGCCGCGCTGCAGCCGAGTGTGCAGTGGCGCTCAGCTTGTCGTACTGCATCTGGAGGAAGCGTACGATGTTGCCGCGATGAAGCTGAGTGTGCAGTGGCGCTTGCCTTGTCGTACTGCATCTTGAGGAAGCGTGCGATGTTGCCGCGCTGCAGTCGAGTGTGCAGTGGAGGTCACCTTGTCGTACTGCATCTTGAGGAAGCGTGCGATGTTGCCGCGATGAAGCTGAGTGTGCAGTGGTACTCACCTTGTCGTACTGCATCTTGAGGAAGCGTGCGATGTTGCCGCGCTGCAGTCGAGTGTGCAGTGGCGCTCACCTTATCGTACTGCATCTTGAGGAAGCGTGCGATGTTGCCGCGCTGCAGTCGAGTGTGCAGTGGCGCTCACCTTGTCGTACTGCATCTTGAGGAAGCGTGCGATGTTGCCGCGCTGCAGTCGAGTAAGCAGTGGCGCTCACCTTGTCGTACTGCATATTGAGGAAGCGTGTGATGTTGCCGCACTGCAGTCGATTGTGCAGTGGCGCTCACCTTGTCGTACTGTATCTTGAGGAAGCGTGCGATGTTGCAGCGCTGCAGTCGAGTGTGCAGTGGCGCTCACCTTGTCGTACTGCATCTTGAGAAAGCGTGCGATGTTGCCGCGCTGCAGCCGAGTGTGCAGTGGCGCTCAGTTTGTCGTACTGCATCTGGAGGAAGCGTGCGATGTTGCCGCGATGAAGCTGAGTGTGCAGTGGCGCTTGCCTTGTCGTACTGCATCTTGAGGAAGCGTGCGATGTTGCCGCGCTGCAGTCGAGTGTGCAGTGGCGCTCACCTTGTCGTACTGCATCTTGAGGAAGCGTGCGATGTTGCCGCGCTGCAGTCGAGTGTGCAGTGGCGCTCACCTTGTCGTACTGCATCTTGAGGAAGCGTGCGATGTTGCCGCGCTGCAGTCGAGTATGCAGTGGCGTTCACCTTGTCGTACTGCATATTGAGGAAGCGTGTGATGTTGCCGCACTGCAGTCGATTGTGCAGTGGCGCTCACCTTGTCGTACTGCATCTTGAGGAAGCGTGCGATGTTGCAGCGCTGCAGTCGAGTGTGCAGTGGCGCTCACCTTGTCGAACTGCATCTTGAGGAAGCGTGCGATGTTGCCGCGCTGCAGTCGAGTGTGCAGTGGCGTTCACCTTGTCGTACTGCATCTTGAGGAAGCGTGCGATGTTGCCGTGCTGCAGTTGAGTGTGCAGTGGCGCTCACCTTGTCGTACTGTATCTTGAGGAAGCGTGCGATGTTGCCGCGCTGCAGTTGAGTGTGCAGTGGCGCTCACCTTATCGTACTGCATCTTGAGGAAGCGTGCGATGTTGCCACGCTGAAGCTGAGTGTGCAGTGGTGCTTACCTTGTCGTACTGCATCTTGAGGAAGCGTGCGATGTTGCCGCCGGCGAACTTGTCGACGCAACCGATGCCGAGCAGCTGCACCAGCCAGCAGGCGCGCTCCTGCATCATTGCGCTGAACATACAGCCCGGGATCTGCAGCAACGCTTTCACCACAACAACGCAAACGTTGTAACGCAGTAACCATGACCACCTGAAAATGATTAATAATATTATTTAAAATAATATTCTATTTGTCGTATGTGGTCAAATGGGTGGAGCCAAAACAAAAACCCTCGCACTGTTTCAGCAGCTTCCCATCATTCGTTCGGGAAATTTGACTTGGGCATATTTGAAAGGATTTTTTTTTATCACTCGATGGTCAAAGACGTATTCATCAGTCAGCCGGGTGCACCATGTGCAAGCCGGGTGACTGACACTTGAAGGATAAATTACTTTATTTCTACCTTACAAACGTTACTTCATATTCAAAGTATAAATAATGTTTTAATGTTTTAAATGTTTTTAAATCATGTTTTTATACAACTTAATATTTTGCTAGTTGTTTATTTTGAATAGTTCGTTAGTATTGATAGTTAGCGTATGAACTTTTTCTATTATCAAATGCATAAAGAGTGTAGATATAGTTCGTACACTTTTATAAATTTTGTATTTTGGTTCCAGTAGTTAGTTTAATAAATGATGTATAAATTTAATATTGCATTAACGGCCTTCCGGTTTTCACCGCTTTTCTTTTAGGATCAATTTCGAACCAAGCAACCAAGTAATACGTTTAATATATTATAATGTTAACAAAAATAGTTAAAAGTCTATATTAAATGTACCATTGTAAAATGGACTCCTTCGGACGGAGGTAGAAGTCCGTTCCCTGCCATAGGAAAATGAAAGAACCTATGAGGTAGCCCATTGAAAACAGATTTACACGGTTTGTGCCCGTCATGAACATGATGGCCAAGGTTACCCACAGCATGCCCAAGAACACCATGCGTTTGATGACGTCTAGCCACGATCTGCAAATTACAACAAATTGATTTAATATATTATTGTAGTCGTTAGTAAATATAATATAAGGATTATATTTCATTAAAATTATGCAAAAATGTTATGTGTCTATGTTTAATTTGAATAATCAGAATTAGAAATGACGAAACAAATGCTCTAATGGCAATAAAACGTCGAGTTTACTTGTCTTCGTTTTTTAAAAATTTTTGAGAATCAGGCGTGAGCTACCGTAGTAAGATATTTATGTTATGATAATAAGTACATGTCAGAACGCCGGATACGGAAATTGGTACTCATCAGAGTACATTATCTGACTTATTTTGTACATTTTAGTTTGGTCCTTGAGATATGCTATCGTTTTCGATTACCTGGTCATTTAATCTGACGATTAAACCTCAAAAAAGAACTTTGCTATTTGACATATCAACTTAAAAGAATTAAACAATTAGGTGAACAGATTAAGGGGATATAGTAACTCAGCTCAAATTCTAATTTCGCCCTCACTTCCCCGCGCGTCGTGTGCTATGTACCGACATTTTTTAATCACTTATACTGTAAGTAGATAGGTCGTTAGATACTTATTTCGTTAGGTTTATCATATTTATGCCTGTTTCTTTACGCCAAGCCAGTCGCTTCTTATTTTTATTACGGTTATTTCCCATTTTAATTTTACGTCGTCCTGTTGCGTAATGTGTATTCTGATCGTAAATGACACAGCTTCCCCCTTCAAAGGCCGAAGCGAGCAGACCTGGCCGGGCGGCAGGAAACGAGCTTTAAGATGCCGATAGTTTAGGTAAATTCTTTTTACAGTGAAAATAATGGTAATAAAAAAAATAAAAACATAAGCCCTGCTTTATAGTTAGTTCAGTTAGTATGCAAAGTTTCATGATCTTATTTAAAGTATTTTTATAATTTATTGTTAAGTTTGGAGTAAATTTGGATTTTTTTTCTATCGAGAAAATTTTACGTAATCGTGTTTTCGTCTAACATAGTACTTAACATTAATCCTCAACTTCACCATATATTTATTTCAAAATTAATGCTGCAATATTTTTGGTATAACGAAGGATCTTGCTAAGCCATTTGTGATAGTATTTTTAATATTTCCCCTTAAAAAGGATTATAAAAGTATTTGACACTGGTAAAAGTATTGTTCGAAAGAGTTTACAACTAAATAAAGAAAGGCTGGGAGGGATTCCATCTCAGGTGACATTGATAACACACCTGTAGTCTTCTTTATTCGAAGTAGGCTACTGGTATCCATGGACTGCATTATCCACTTATCAACAGGTGAACCGTAGATTCGTTTGTCTCTTAAGTTTTATAAAATTTGAAAGGTCACAGATGGTAACTTAGAATGAACGCATGTTCCTTGTACTACACATTGTTCATTACTATAATGGTCTTACTATTGTGTCTGAAAATCGGACATTGAAAGTTATAATATATCTTACCCAACATATCCGAGGAAATCAGGGACAGGGTTCACAAAGCTTGGCGTTTCCCAATCCTTGCCGATGTCCTCGCGGTTAGAGCCCCCTGGATAAGCATCGCCGTATGTGCTCTCCAGTCGGAACACTCGGAGTTGTCGCGCCGCAAATAGCAGCAAGAAGTAATCAAAAATTAGTTTTATTGCATGAGGCGGCTCCGGCGCGTATGGTAAAAATAGCCATGTTCGAATGTGTTTCATTTGCTGTAAAATAAAAGAATATTGATATTAAGAGACATGCAGAAAATAGAAAATTATATCTCTGATATCATCGACTGAGAACTTTAAAGCAAGTATGTAAGTTAGTGATGATTGATCACTAACGGGATGGAGAGATTGCAATAATGGTGATGATTAAAAAAACACATAATTTTTGTGGTGTATAATATATGAAATTAGGATTTCGCTCAGATTTAATGTGTTGCTGTATGAAATAAAATAAAGTATATCTTTTGGTTAATGAAATAGTACATTTATTTAGTAGATTTGTGATGAAGTGAAATATCAGTTATTAGGTAAATAAAAAAAATGTTTCAAGTTTTTAAATATACTTATTTTTTGCCCGTTCTTTACAGTTGCGATAATATTCATATTGCTATTATTATAGTTATACCCATATATTTTTTATATTGTTACGAGCCAATAAAAACTGCCGATTGTTACCAAAATTGACACTTTAATTACCGAACACCAATTAAAACTTAAAAAATAAACTAATAATTAATCACACTAATCACTTTTAGTTCACTTTATTTCGCTCCAAAGCTTCGCTTGTGTCGCCAAATTCAATACTGGTACCATCGTGGCTTGCAGCGGATTTAAATACACCTTTTCCACCGAAACATCCAGAATATTCCAGTAAATACGGGCGCCGACCGACTAGGCGCAGAAAGTTCGAGTGTGGGGCTTCTAGAAAGCTTAATTCTTCTGTTCGATATTAGATGGCGCTATTGGTGGAAAGTTCCAGATTGACATTTTCTAGAAAGCCCTCCTCGCTCTGGTCCCCGACACTAGATGGCGCTAGTGCCATACGTCAACTTAGGCGCGCAACAATATTTATACAACACAAATTCCCGATTATATACAGCATGATATTTTGTTTCTAGCATAGTGCCGGATTATTTATTACCAAAGTCACTTCATACTTTACACAAGCAACGTAAATTTTGTAAAAAAAAATATATTTTATTGTTTATTTTTTAAATTTAATGGGGGGTGGGGCAATGGGCCGACTTAATACTTAGGGAGCTTCTGATACTCTTCATCATTGACATCTCTGAAAATTTTGAGAAAAAGTAAAGAATTTTGAGCAAAGGTTATTTTCTTTTTTATTATTTTCATGATCTGTATAGAAATAATAAAAATAAAATAACCATATCTGGTGCACAAACACGTGTGTTCATGGTATCTGTTGTGTGTGTGCGCACCTGCGAGTCGCCCGTCCAGGGGTAGCGCAGACAGAACTGCGGCAGGAAGCCGAGCGCCAGCATGTACTGCAGCGGCACGAGCGCGGTGACCGTGGCGGTGAAGGCGGGCCACAGGCGCGCCAGTCGCGTGCGCCCGCACGACACCAGCACCAGCAGCCAGCCCGCGTACACCGCCGCGTACACGTCCATGCGCGACCCGATCACACCCATCAGGCAGATCAAGCATATCTGCGTGCACAACAAAACCATTTCTTCTTTAACTAAGCCATGGAGAGGACTGGCTCTGCCCAGAAATAAATTTCTTACAAGAGAACTAAAGTAATAAAAATAACTAACTAAGCAAAAACAAGTATATCGATGTCGATTGTTGCTAACATTGTAAACGAAATCAATATAGTGATATCATTTTTCTAGAAAATCAGAAGATACGAGTGTAATTACACTCATATTTGGCACAGTATAAATATACCAAGGATGACCACTTGACATTTCTATTGCCACGCGTGAATTGCACGCAACATCTTTCAATAGGTTTGTCATTATTTGCCTTACTTGAAAATTTAATTAGAAAAAGCGAGACGAGCATATTGATTCTTTTTATGTAGAATTGTAAGTTCTCTACGTGTGTATGTAATTGCTCAAAGTGTGCATATATTACAAATACATACATTAAATTTTATTTCTCATATTTTACATGGGATTTTTTTCATGAAAATAACAAATTTGAAACTAGTTATAAACTATATAATAAAACGAATTGTATATATATTTAGATTCATTGTACAAACAAAATAAATACCTCAACACCGAACTTATAGAAACCATAATTCACTAAGTACTTGATGCAGTGGATCAAGTCTTTATCAGCTTCTTTACGTGTTATTTCTGGGAACATTAATTTATCCGCATCTCTAGGTAGAAGACCTTGATCTCTAAAAGATAAAACAGATAACTTAGTTTCATAAAATTATTAGTTTATCACTTACATTGAGTCAATATTGGCATTAATGTGTACACTATAACTTAAATAACTTAAAGTTAGATAATATTAACCTGATATTCTGCTGCCTATATGTGACTAGCGAGTAAAATGTAAACACGGCAATCAGTCCAATGTATCCTTTTAGCAGCTTGACTAGAGGTCGGTCGCGTGTTGCTTTGTAGAAACCCACCCATTCCGCATTGTTATACGTTGTTACATTAATTGTGTTGTTTTCTCCAGCCTAAAACATGTAAAAAATGTCTAATGTCTTAATGTGGTAAATTAACCTTCCGAACGCCAAACTTCGGTTATAGCTGACCAATGAAATTACACCTCTCACAGCATACTTCAGTGAGTAGTAGAGTCAGCAAAGGACGCCCTAGACGAAAGTTCATCTAACGAATTGGCGATATATTGAAGAAAAAAAATTAAGATTATCCTTAACACGTAGGCATGTAGATGTGGAAGAAACAGGGCATATATGTCAGGATTGTGCCAAATGAAAGTCCGTTGTCTGTGTCTACGCCTTGACAGGCCTGATAGTTAATTTTTATCAAATGATTACACGAATTCCTATCAAAATACTTCACTTATTTACAAATTTAAGATATGAATTCATTGCTTGTGTTTATTTTATTAATTTAAATAAAAAAGGAAAATCATAAGTATTTTAATGGTATTAAGCTTGTTAAGTTGTGAATTTTCGTACTGAAAAATAAGAGTTTAAATCATTTAAAATGAGTGTATTCTGAAGCCACATTTGGCAATACGTGCCCTCTAGTGATATGCAAAGGTAATAAAGGTTGTATGCGCGAAAAGCAAAACATTATTTTAAATACAAGTTAACTAAATTTCACGAGTGTCTTGTCACCGTTTTTATCAAATGTGTCGTCTGCATAATCACTAACTGCTTACCCTTGCTTAGCACGGTAAGTGTAAGCAAATCTTTCAAGTTATACATTTCAATGAAATATTTTTAAACAGGATGAATATTTAGCAGTGGATCACTAAGACTATTAAAGAACAAGAAAATAAAAAATGTTCGCTAGTAGTACAACATAAAATACTTACCGAAGTGCAATTCACGTCGAAAATTGAGTGCTGGATGTATTCAATTTGATAAACCATTTTCGCCATTAGATAAATGCTAATAAGAGTTGAAATAAGAAGTACACAAAAACGTTGTCTTCGGGAGTTTAGCAGTAAGGCCGGAGAAATAATTATCATGATTGGAACATGCAATGCACACACCTGTAAAATTAATTGTGATTTATAGATATCTTATTGTATATCATAATACAGATGAGGAACAAGAAGAGTAAAAATCAACAAGACTTGTCCTTGGTGGTTATTAAAAAGGAAATTTATCAACAAAAATTTTTGTAGCTTTGATATTAAATGCCGTTATGCGTTAAATTTATAATAAAAGAAAAGTCGTAGTGCGTATTATAATAGACTATAGTATGTGCCAAATCGATTGAAAAAACGGACAATGACCTCAGATATGAGCAGAGTGTCAAAAGGCGTAACTTACAAAATCTCAATTTAGATGTGATAACAATATTTAAATATTGATATTATTCACACTTCTAGGTCAGCACATATGTTTTTTTTTGTTTCTTAAATAATATTGTTTGTGGTTCCTATAAACATCGTAAAATCTTACGGTACATCGCGAAAAATGTGTTATATTTTATATTTCAATTTATGGTAAGTAACGCAGCAATTCATTTAATAAGTTTCATATAAAAAAATTTGAAGCAATATAATCACCATATTGACCTTTTGTAAATTCATCCCTTTAAAATAAACAAAACGCGCGTTACGTCAGTTCGTTCTAAAAGAAACGTGACAATGGCAGCCAGAGATGTGTCAACTTTTTTAAGGGCCGGTCCGCGTGCACCGAATAAAAATTAAATTCTTATATAATATTGAAAATAAAGTTTTATCTTTTGAATAAGTTCGTACTTATTCGGTGTCGTTATCACTCGAATCTTTATATGTGTTAAAAATTAATGGTTTTTGTTGTTAAATGAATAAAGTACTTTATAACAATAGATGATTTTCTTCTACAGCGATCTTTTACATAACTTTTTAATAAAAGTTAATAAATATATATTGTATCAATCATTATAAAAAAAAAGACGTGTGGCACTCGGGGACTGCCGCGGTAAAGCTATTGCATAACATTTTTTATCAACTTATGCAATTATAATAAATTATTTATTTTATTTATGCAGTTAAGTCTTTGATATTAAATCAAGTTACACTTTTTGAGCGTGGTGACCGATAAGAAAACATTTCTTTTCTCTTATTGTATAAATGAGAAGTTAATATTGTTTACCACTTGCGTTTGTCGCGCTTTGTCTCGTCACAAAGTGGCGAAATCACAGTAATATGGGTATTTTATAAACAGCACCTGTCTAATATTATGAAATATGTAGATAAAACTTAAAACTTACCTTGATAAATGTATACCCTTTTGTTTGTAATATTTTTAGACCTCTCTTCAATCGTTTCTGCTTATTCCCCATGTTTTACAAACTAAACTTAAACATTAATAAAACTGTACAATTAATATAACTATAAAACACTACTATTAAACAAGATTCAGAAAAAACCAACTCCACTATTTAACAAAATTAAATTTTTGCAGTAATATTTTACGATTTTATTTCGTAGTGCTGAGCTCTCGCAACGCGGCGTACGTCCACCTGGCAACACGATGCGCCCCGCACTGAATTCGTGGACGAATGCGGGGGGTGATATAGACGCAGTATTTAATCGGGACGCATTTTTAATTTATTATCATAAAAATAATATATATTTCTAAAAAGTAACCAAACCAAATTATTTTATTTTGTATTGCAAAGCAGTAGATATTTTTTTTATATTCCTTTGATAAACAATGAAGGAGTAAAGTGGTTTCATCTCAACGATTTGGAGGTGATTTGGGTATTTTTTTATTTATTATGTGACACCGATAGAAAAATTATGGCTAAACCAAATTATGTATCAGATCATGTAGATTACTAGCTATTTTTTTCATATGTAATTTCTCTGTAAGTGTCGACGAAAAGTTGGTTCATCTGCACGCTTTTTTCAAGCTTTTTGCGAGAGAGCAGCCTTAATAATAAATGCACTTTGTTTATTCATATTCAAAATTTCAAAACACTTTATACACAAACACCGTGTCGAAGACTGAGGAAAAGAAACGACGTTAGACCATCGTTAGACAATGCACGGCCTTCAAGCCACACCTCCGTGCCCGTCGGAGAGCGTGAGGTTTTTTTCGTTACGAAATTTCTGGATTTTCCCGCACTCAAGGCCCGCGATAGAAGCTATGCAATAGCTTAAAAATATTATAAATAAAGAAAGTACTACATATAAAATGAGCCTACATATTGAAGGTTTGTAGCCCCTGGATAAACGACCGAAAGGTCATTGTCCGTTTTTCTCAATCGATTTGGCACATACTATAGCTGATGTCCGCTCTCTTCGCTGAGCGCACAATATTTTATTGCGGGACCTGATGTAACTTAGGTAGGGAAAATATCAAGAAAAAACTTTTTTAATGGGACTATTGTAAAACCCGTACTTAGTGAGGGTATCCGTACATTGTGAAATGAGTAACTATACTAAATTTCAAGTCAACCAGGTGTTTAGTTTTAAAACTCTCGTGAAAAGGAACCAAAGCGGTTCACTTTAATTGTATGTTCTTTTTCTATATGTATAGGTATAAATGTGTTTGTCAATTGTCAACAAAATTTGATCATTCTTTTTAATGAAATAGTTTATACATTAGGAGTGGATTTATATGAATTTGAAGAAAAAAAAATGAATCCAACCCTAGGGTTAGAAAATAAAGATAAAAATTTTAATATACTATTTAGAGGACATTCTTGTTGTCATCTAATACTTGTGATCCTTAGTCCATTCAAAAGGGTGAAAATCAAACTTTTGATAAAAAGTGAAAGACGACTTCAAATAATTATAAGGTTCAAATAATTTCCTTATAACATCTTCGAAACGTGGGCTTTTAATTCGTCTTTCTTTAAAATTGTCTTAGCACCGACTTTTTATTTAACGACATGACATTTAGACATTTCATTAAAAGTTTAATTTTTAGGATACATCACAACATTATGAATTAGTCGTGTAGCTTTTATTGTGTAACGTAGAAGGCATACGTTCATAACGCAGAGCAGCATGAGCGCGAGGAAGATGATCTTGACGAGGTGTATGTCGAGGTAGACGAAGGTGTGATCGGCGATGCGGTGCAGGCGGCGGCGCAGGCCGGCCAGCGCATGCGCAATCCGCGCGCGATGTGCGCCTCTCGCCGCGTACGCATGCCTGCGGGACGGCTTCCTATGCGAACCGGGTTAGCACGCTTTTATTATGGCGACATTACACGATTCAACCAAATTTAAAGCATAGTACGAGATCAATTTCTCTCTATGATCAGAATTAATAATTGCGGTCCAGATTAATTGATACATCAGATCGCAAAAAATCTAGACATTTTGAAATCAAGATTGTTATCCTCTGATCGCGATCACGTTTGAACGTTTTTGCGCAGGATCGCCTCAGTCTACGGTGCACGCTTTGACAACATAAACACTGATGACCCGCGCTCCTTTCCGCTTCAGACCGAACCGACGAATTCACAATTTGAATAAGATTTCATTGTAAGAAAAAGTATCTCGTTTGATAATATATGGAGTTATAATTTGTAGAAATTTATGATATCATTTTCCTTCATAAGTTTAACTTCTTTAAGTAGATTTAAATGAGTGTACAATACTCTGTTGAGGAACCGCTGTTCAACCATTACAGCCTTTTAAAGTCCAGTGCTGTACATATGCCTCCCTCGTAGATTGCCTCATAGGGGAGATATTTGCCATAGTTGCCACGCTTGGCAAGAGGATTGGTAACCGCAGTTTTTTTTCTCTGTTCCGACACTCTGTCGCCTCTGACAACACCTACAGGATGACATGGGGTAGTGGTTTAACCCAGCGCCTTTTTCGAATACTTTTCTTCAAAGTTAGAGCCACAAGAGATACTACAGCTTTAATTTTATGGGACAACAGGTGTTAAAATGGCGGTTAAGATACACGGATTGAATAAATAGAGATTGAATATGTAATGTTGTAGCGCGATCCCATTATCTGTGATCGCAATCAGAGATATGCGATCGCGATCGAGATTGAATGTGTACGGACTGCCATAGAACATGGACTGCTTTTGAGGACTGTACGACGAACCATGACAACTTTTTAAAACATGCTATGTGCAGCAGCTAGAATATTGTCACATGTGGCAAATATGCACATAGCATATTTTATTTGACCACGGTCAAGTGTGAATATCTGCTATGTGTTTAGTCCAAACACAAAACAACATTAACATTACATTAAATAGCTAATAAGGGATAGATAAATAAACTCATGTTTTGTAAATCACTTATTAGTCTCAAGAAATTTTACACTAATAAATAAGATAATAAACTAAAGTAGTTTGTACCCATAAATTACCAATAAGTTGACAGGCAGATAAGTTAATTATTAAACCACTGATTAGTTCCAAGGATCGTACGTCCTTTAAGGTTCTCGGCATATTATCCCCTATAGGAAAAAACTTTTTTTTTTAAATAATAACTTGTAAAACCAAAGTAGAAAAATAAAAAGCCTATACTTTTTTATATACTAATAACGCTTGGCGTCATCAATTAATGTTGCCATGACTTACGATTGATTACCATTATAAAATTATATTGAAAAAAGACCATTCCATAATAAAATGATAAAAAAATATTTTATATTTAGTCAATGTACTTAAATTTAGTTCTAAATTAAGTACATTGACTACACTTTTAAGGTTTATTTATGATACATTACTAAACAACAATAGACAATAATAATAATAATAATGTGTAAATCAGGTGTAACATTTTTTACTCCAATTACTAATCCCTGAAAATAAGGTGATCGCTGTCATGATGTTTCTAAATATTTTTATATTACAACATTGTATTTTTTTTAATAAAAGGGTCTCGTTGGGTGTTGTAGGTTTTTCCGAAGCAGTGACAAAACCATATACATATATACAGATAGGTGACCGTTTTCTTAACATACATATAATAAACATATATATTAAAAAATAAAGAGTACATTTTTTATAGAATCATATGTATCATCAGACACTTAGTGCACTTTAATACTTCCTGCGTATTTGGCTAGTTTCTGTTAGTATCATTATGTTTTAAAATTCATGTAGCTAAAATGATAATAAATTTATTATTAATTTATATTTTTCGAAGAGAGATTAGAGATTAGAGAGAGAGAGAGAGAGAGAGTAGCCTCTTAAATTATTTAGTTTACATTCATATTTAAGTCGAATGTAAATGCTTTTACTAAGATTACAAAAAACTTCTATTCTATATTAATCCAAATGTTCCAAAAGTTGAACTCGAGTAAAACATACGCGGCCTCTAGTTAGAAATTACAACGTTACCTATATAATGAACGTTTAGCAGCCGTGTTCACTGAAGACATCTCGAGAGAATGGTCAGCCTCTGTATCGCTTTTGGAATCCATTTCAAGTGAACCAGCCTGCTCTTCTTCCAAGGGTAACGCTGGCAACTACAATATATTTTTTGTTAATTATTTATTTTAATGATCATGCATGACATTGAATTAAAAAATAGCAGAATTTTTTTGTAAGTGATCTACAATTACATACATCTATCCTCGATAGTCAACCCTGGGGTCTGAGATATAGAGAAATATCTTTACCAGTAAAATGAGTCTCTTCTTCTCGTTACTCTCCAATAAGTAAATCCAGCATTATGCTGCTATTGTATATATTATATTTTGTGAGAACGTTGTCCTCTCCAGAACAATTCACCTCACCTGTGTTGCAGCAATTATACGCTGCAGTGTAGCTCTTCCACATAATATTATAATATATATATGAATGTTGTGTGTTGTAAAACAAATCGCAAATAAATAAATCTAGAATTTTAACATGTGGATGTACAAATCAATGACATCATATCCGATACGAAATAAATGCTTAAGAGTTTAGCTATCAACGAGTTCACTTGAATACAATATATGTATTAGCATAAGCAAACATTAGCAATGAAACTATTAAAAGCGACAGTAGCCTAATGGTAGGGCGCGGTCCGCAAACTCAAAAAGTCGTGGGTTCGAATCCACCATTCGACTACTGTCGTGAACCACTCCTAACACAAGCATTTTCAGCTTACCAGGAGGGGTTAAAGGGAATATTAGTAATGTTAATTAATAGGATTACTAATATTTAAAAAAAATGAAACAACAATAATAACATCTATACTTACATCATCTTTCATAGTTGAAGCACCAGCTTGACTTGGACGACTGGACTCTCTGGCAACACTGTTTGTCCTGTAGTTATTTATCGTTGTTAAACAAGAAGTGATTCTAAAATATTATTGTGGAGAATCGAATCGTGTAGCACTAACCTTGTTTTAGGATCAGACAACGCCATAAAGTCTTTGTGGAAGTAGTGAACCTGCATGATTGTTATTATAAGGAACAACGTAGGCGTTAATAATTTTACAAACAAGTCAGCGGGATTATACGGTTCTAAACCCAAATCGTGTTGCCTGAAATTAAGAAATTGTAATTAACGGCCTTTAGAGGGCACAAAATTTAAAAGTATTTTATGAAAACAAAAATTTTAATGAAAAATGAACTTTATAATAAGCAAAAATAATGGAAGCTCTTCGAGTTGAAATTTTAAAAGCTAACTGAATTTTCACGCTCAGCAAATAAAAAAAATTACGCTAAAATTAAGTATAACAGAACTAAGAACTTACAATCTCTCGTTAATCATGAGGTAGGTCTCTATAGTCTTAGAAAAGTTATCGAACTGGTATATGTAAATGAGTATAAGATTGATCATTGAGTATATAATCACTGTTATCCAAAACATGTACATTAAACGTCGCCACCAGTACCAGCTTATCTGTGGAAAGAAACAAAAAATAATACATAATATGTTTTACTGTAAGTTTATTTACAAGCTCAAGGAATTTCATTCAGTCAATCTTAATTTATTAAGCAGTAGGACACCTTTTTGCCTAAAAGTCTGCTCGGTTAATTACTATTGTCTTGTCTTTTTGCCGCCAAATAACTGCTTGCACTGCTGTGTTGCGGTCTTAAGAGTATAGAGACGTAAGTACTTCCTACTTGGCTGTAAGGCATTTCATCTTAGTGTTTGAAGTTGGTTGTAGGTGGATTGCAGTAAGCAATTACCATCAGGTGGACTAAACGCGATATGAAAAGTTGCAATAATTTGCCCTATGTTGTTATGTAAGATAATCACATTAAAATTATATATTTGTAACTCGGAAATCAGACTAGAAAAAGAAATTTAAAATGAGACCTATTGTGAAACAAAAACCTTTTTATCTTATTTTTTTCTAATGTGATAGTCATTAGACATTAGTTAAGACGGACGGAATGAAGTTATCACCCGTGCGGTTAAAGAATGGGATTGAAAATGACGTCACTTCTATTTAACTCTCGTTCGCACAATGTCACAATCTATACTCATACACTCCGGTAGGCTGCAAAAAAAAAATACGTTGCGATATGCGTTTTTCGATACGTTCTATAACTTCACTTCAACTTCTCATTGGAATCAATGATAACAAATTCTCAAAAACTACAAAAAACAGTCTGGTTTTACTAATTTATTAGCAATGTTGATTTTTTATGTTAATATTTTATGAAAAAATGGAGGATTGATTTAGACTATATTTTATATAAAATAGAAATATTGATAAGATTTTAAAAAATGGTCTTTAAAGATTATCTTTAGTCTAAATAACGCCACATTGATAGATCCCACCCAGGAAAAGCTCTAGCTGTGGTGATTGCTAGTTATAAAAGTTATTTTAAAATTAATATACCTACTCGTATATATAATTCTTTTCAAATATTTTCCCATTAATAGAAAACTTCCAATTAAACTAATAATATAACTTTATAAGGATATACCGTAATTAGCCGGTTTTCGCTACTGGTACTGTGCATGTTGACGGTAGGGACTCGATGGGATGCCATTTCTAATCCCATTCTTTATCTGTACGGACTATACTCTTATATAGGTTTCGCTTATGTATAAAAAAATCGTCTGCCGTAATATATGTCAGCGGATCCCTAATAAGTGTAAACGACGTACCTGAAACATGAGTATGAAGGAGAGGAAAAGGAACATATAGATGATGCGGAAGATGGTCATGCGGTCGCCGGTGACGCCGATGACGAAGAGCATGATGACAACGACGTAGATCCAGTAGCGCGCGCACGCGGCTCGTAGCCACGCGCCCCCCGCGCGCAGCAGCCGCGACTGCGCGCCGCCCTCCGCGCCCGCGCCCTGCTCCAGCGCTGCACACCCACCCCACACCTTACCTCTTGTTAATTGTACCTTTACACCTTCCACCCGCTGACAACGATACACGGAGCGCTGCGTACATTTCACGTTCACTATACGTGCTGGAGCCATGCTGAGTTATACCATGGTAGTTATACGAAAGGGTTGACTCGACTAGGGAAGAACACACTCTCACTACCAGCGTTAAATAGTAGCTTAATTGCTGCTGTATTTCTTATGGTGAGTGTAAAGAACCGAACATACTTTTTAACTATAAACGAGGCATTCAATCTTAGTTATCAGGGGTGACAACTCATCTTCATTGATGTAAATATTTATTACGTAAATTACGTGTAATATATATTACGTGGTAGAGCCATGCTGCAGTTATATTAGTAGTATAGTTGTAGCACGAATGGGTCAGCTCGACCGGGGAAGGACCACACTCTTACAGAATACCAGCGTGAAATAGTAGCTTAATGCTGCTGTATTTCGTATGGTGAATGTAGAGAATCGGAGACCCTTTTTACTGGAAACGGGGCATTCCATCTTAGTCCTCACGGGTGACAACGCACCTGCATTTTGATTCGTAATCGAGGATAGATGTAGATGTCTATGGGCCACAGCAACCACTAACCATTAGGTGGACTGTGTGCTCGTTTGTCACCCTAATCTTTAAAAAAAATCTACGAGCCGTACCATCTACTTACATTCACATGGACTGTGTACTCGTTTGTCACCCGTATTGAAACAGTAAGAGACTCTTTTTTAATCAATATATATTATAAATAACATTTTCTACTAAAAAATGCCGAAATTGGGTTCTTCGCTTCGCTCTCCTACACAAATCTTAACTGTTTACAATCCCGTAAAAGCTTACTGAACAAAAAAAAATCATTTACAACCAACACAACCTAAAACCATGTTTTTGAATATATGATTTTAGATACATATATTAACATGACTAACTGTTATTACAATAAACTGAGCATGGTTCTGGCTTAGTTTCAGCACGATTCGAAATGTACACAGCGCTGCGCCTTTCTTTCCAGGTGCGTTAAAGGTAAAATTATATTATGCAAAACGATGTTAAATTTATAAAAAAATGAATGGATTATGCTATATAACAAGAAAGAAAAATATGCATTTTAGAATAAAATAAGGACGTATTAATTTAAATGCGTGATTAAATATAAAAATGGTTCTTTTAAAAAGATAACTCGATTCAAACTTAATGACGGTTGTGAAATTAACTGCGAGTAAAGGTCAAGGGGGTGCTAAGAATCTCCAGTGGAGGTTCGATTGCCACCTACGACGACTCGACCTGGCAACATTTAACGCACGCACCCTGAGGACCGACGAGAAGATCCTGGAGCTGGAAGAAGAGATAGACAAGTTGCGCTGGAATATTATAGGATTATCCGAGGTCAGAAGAGAGGAGGAGGACATGGTGATTCTCGAATGCGGCAACTTGTTCTATCACCGGGAGGGCGACCACTGTCCCAAGGAGGTGTTGGATTTATCGTCCAAAAGTCTCTCGTTAACAACGTTTTAAAGATTGGGAGTGTATCGACGAGGGTTGCGTACCTTATACTCAGAATCACCAAACGGTATTCGCTGAAGGTCATACAGGTTTACGCGCCAACGTCGGAACATCCCGATGAGGAGGTGGAGGAAATGTATGAGGACATTTCTAGAGCTATGCATTCCTCCAAAACTCACTATACGGTGTTAATGGGAGATCTCAACGCAAAACTGGGCACAAAAAAGAACGGTGAGCTGAAGGTAGGGAAATTTGGGATAGGGCAACGGAATCTAAGGGGCCAGCAGCTGGCCGACTTTATGGACAAAGAGGATTTTTTATGATGAACTCTTTCTTCCAGAAGCGGCCCACAGAAAGTGGACCAGGTCGAACCCCGACGGTTCAAAAAAAAACGAGATTGACTTCATTATGACGACCAGACGCCAACTGTTCAGTGATGTCTCAGTGATCGCAAGGGTGAAAACTGGCAGCGATCACCGAATGGTTAGATGCACATTGAACCTAAACGTTAAGTTGGAGAGGTCTCGTGTAATGAAGTCAACGCTCCGTCCTCCTCGTGCTCTAATCCAGAATCCCGAAACCTTACAGCTCGAGTTACGTAACCGCTTTCAGTGCCTAGAAGATTGCAATGCAGTGGACGATATAAATGACAAGCTCGTGGAAACTGTCCATGCGGTCGGAGCAAAGTTCTACAAGACGCGCCGCAGAAGAACACAAAAACTCTCCGATCACACTGTCATGGCTGTTAGGGAGATGAGGCTGCAATCATCAACAGATTCGACAGCATACAGGCAACTGAACAGACAGATCTCCAAATGCATTACGCTCTTACTTACGCAACTTTAATACTGCTCGTATTAAAGAAGCGATCAAGCGGAACCAGGGCTCCAAAGTCTTTGCCAGAGATCTGTCTGCCAGAAAGAGCCAACTGTCAAGGCTGAAGACTGAGTGTGGCAGCATCGTTTCCGGGACACCTGAGATTTTGAGTGAGATTGAGAGGTTCTATGGGCATCTGTACACATCATCGTTGGAGCCACACGCAAGTGTGAGTAACGATCCAAGAGCAAGTCTTATCCGACACTATTCCGATGACATCCCGGACGTCAGTCTGAGCGAGATTAGAATGGCTCTCCAGCAACTTAAAAACGGCAGGGCCCCAGGCGAGGATGGAATTACAGCGGAGCTTCTGAAAGCGGTTGGAACACCGGTACTTGAAGTCCTTCAGAAGCTCTTCAATTCCGTCCTCCATGGTGGCACTACTCCGGAGGCGTGGAGCAGAAGTGCGGTGGTCTTGTTCTTTAAGAAAGGCGACAACGCTCTCTTGAAGAACTACAGACCGATTTCCCTTCTGAGCCGCGTCTGCGTGCTGTTTTCGAGAGTCATTACGAATCGTCTCGCACGTAGACTCGACGACTTCCAGCCTCCAACAACAAAACAAGCTGGTTTCCGAAAAGGCTTCAGTACCATAGACCACATACATACCCTGCGGCAGATTGTACAGACGACCCAAGAGTACAATCTGCCACTTTGCCTGGCGTATGTGGACTATGAGAAAGCCTTTGATTACGTCGAAATTTGGGCGGTGCTACAGTCCCTTCAGCGGTGCCAAGTTGACTGTCGGTATATCGAAGTGCTGAAGTGTTTGTACAGTAGGGCTACGATGGCTATCCGAGTACAGAACCAGAGCTCGAAACCTATCCAACTGCAGAGAGGTGTAAGACAGGGTGACGTTATTTCCTCGAAACTCTTCACCGCTGCATTGGAAGACGTTTTCAAGCTACTGGACTGGAAAGGATACGGTATTAACATCAATGGCGAGTACATTCACTCACCTTCGATTTGCCGACGATATAGTCCTTATGGCAGAAGAACCTCAATGGTGTCTCCCAACGGATAGGTCTTAAGATGAACATGGACAAAACAAAGATCATGTTTAATGTCCATGTCACACCTATGCCGGTAGTTGTTGGGAGCACTATGCTCGAAGTTGTTGACGAGTACGTTTACCTGGGACAAATAGTCCGACTAGGTAAGTCCAACTTCGAACGAGAGGTCAATCGACGGATTCAACTCGGCTGGGCAGCGTTCGGGAAATTACGACACATCTTCTCGTAAGGTATACCTCAATCTCTGAAAACTAAAGTGTACAACCAGTGCGTGTTGCCAGTGATGACTTACGGATCTGAGACGTGGTCCTTCACTGCTGGCTGTATGAGGACGTCCAAGGTCGCTCAGTGAGCTATGGAGAGGGCTATTCTCGGAGTTTCTCTGCGTGATACTCAGAAATGAGGATATCCGCAGTAAAACCAGAGTGACCGACATAGCCCAACGGATTAGTAAGCTGAAGAGGCAATGGGCCGGCCATAGTTCGAAGAACCGATAACCGATAGACAGAAAGGTTCTCGAGTGGCAGCCTCGTACCGGTAGGCGTAGTGTAGGGCGACCCCCCACTAGATGGAGTGACAACCTGGTAAGATATGTAGGAAGTCGATGGATGCAGGTGGCTCAGGACCGTGCTTTGTGGCATTACTTGGGGGAGGCCTATGTTCAGCAGTGGACTTGTGAAGGGCTGTAATGATGATGATGAAAGGTCAAGTTAACAATAATCCCCCTCAACGGGTTCAAAGACGAGGAGGCTAAGGAGCCGTGACTTGATCACTCGCGGTGAATTAAGAGGAACCCACTTGGCTGGCCCGAGGTGGCCATTCCGAGTAGGCTTGGCGAGCCTACTTCGGATGTGTTGGTGATCTGCGGCGAGAGAGGTGTCCTATCAACCTACCGATGCAGCCGAGGTGGAGTTGCGGAGGAAAGGGAATATTAATATGACGATGTGCTACTCGCCCTATCCTCCACGACTGACAGGGCCGAGTCGTTGAAGCGGTGGTGGTGGGGCTGTGGAGGGAGAGGAGTGTGGGTATTGCGGTATTGCGAGGCACCGCTCTCTCTACCCTCCCCGCAGCCGAATCTTGGTTGGCAGCGGAGCCATAGACCAGATCCGCCGCCGGGTTCAGGAAGGCTAGTGCTTCTAAGCGGTCGTTTTTCCAGGCTTCATGACAAATGGGCTTCCGTTGCGCAGGTGAAGTTGGACGCCGCGGAGAAAGGCACGCCATGCGTTCTATTGCGCCTTTCCTGGGAAGATGGGGGAGGAGTAGTCTTCTCCTTATGAGGGGCCACCATGGAGCGGCCGACGCTGATGGGGCTGCGGATGTGTGCAAAAGGGTTTCCGTGGCCCTGCCAATATGCGTTAACAATAATGTCTGTTTTCTTAGTACACAATATATACAAAACACGTCCTTTATCGTCTGCAATGTTAAAAAATATATCATCTCAAACTGTAGTAAGGTAAACTGTGGTATATTATTAAAAATATAAAATATGCAAATCAATGTTTATTTGAGTTAAACAAAAAGTCAGTTTATATTATTTGTGTGTCTATGGCAAACGTTACCTATTCTTAGTATACGTATAGCTTTAATTTATTTCATTTAGGGTTTACCACAAATATTGTAGAGGTAAAATAATTAACAAACCACAATAAATTTGAACTCGACTGTACTTAAGCCAAATCGCGCGATCTAGTGCAGCAAAATTTACTATTGCGCGGCACCTTGCGCCTAACTTCAAAGACGTCATTAAGTTTGGATCGCAATCTTAAGCGAAATGTATGTTTTGCCTATGTGCGTAGAATAAAGATGATTTAATATTTTATTATAGTTCGGCCGTTCAGAGAATGCGTTCGTGACACCTATCAGTTAGTCACGACTAGTGATGGGCACAACATAACACTGGGTTCGTTACCGTTCCTCCAAAATGAACCGCCGCGTTATTTTTAAGATTATTTTCGTTTTAAATTGGCGGAATCATTTAAAATTTATATTTTAGTAATTTAAGTGGAAACCAAAAAAAGGTAATATTAATATAATAAAATTGTTTTATTTATTCTTTGTTACAAAGTTACAATCTGTATTTCTATGCAATAAAGTACATTGAATTGAATGTGCGTACAGAATATTAATCAGACTCCGATTCGCTTGAGGAGGTGGTGTCTTCATCATCATCTTCGCCTACATGTATAATTATATTATTATCAATAACAGAATCAATCCTGATATCTCGATCAAAATGTTCTACAATCAGGTTTTTAGCCTTCTCAACAACCTTTGCCCAGTCATCTCTTGTGACTTCCCCGCAGGCTTCTTTTAATAGGGTCATCATCTTTTTCATGCTGAATGGCGGGGAAGTATTGTGGCGGGCGGCGTAACCTTTTATTTGAGCCCAGATTAGCTCAATCGCGTTATATTGGCAATGATACGGTGGAATTCTTAGAACGCGATGACCGTACTCCAGAGCCAGTTCATCGATTTCGTATCGCACATTTGCCGCTTTATTTTCTTTAACTAATTTAATTAGCTCTGGCTCTGCATATTTGCGTCAATGCCTTTTTCTTGTAACCAAGCCACAATTTCTTCTTTTTTATTAGCTTGGGTAGGTGGTTTCTGTATTTGAACCGAGTGATAGGAGGCATTATCCATGAATATTACAGAAGGCTCTGGTAGGCTGAGCAAAAGCACGTTCTGGAACCACTCTTTAAATGTAGTGGCATTCATTTCCTCGTGGTAGTCATTTGTGGTTTTTGATTGAAATGCCAGTAACGCGTTCTCCACAAAGCCGTATTTTGCAGAACCTGCGTGGCATATTATCAGACGGGCCCCCCTTACCCATTGGTACTTTCGACGTCGCCGCTTGTGTATCATCCGTCCAAGAACGGGAAAGAAACCGTGTGATTGGCGTTTAGCCATGTCTCTTCAATGAACATGACATTATCCCAGTCATCAATATTTTTTTGCTTCTCTCAAAAAACTTATCCGTTTTAAAATTATGTCGTATCGTTCTAATAAAAATTTTCTTTTGTCTGTTTTTTTATACGAAAATCCAATATCTTTTAAGATTTTGGTTAAAGCAGTTTCACCCCCGCTAAACAGTCCAGCTTCTCTTAATGATGCCAAAAGCTTCTTCCTGTTGAGATATTTATTTCTGGAATAGTAACCATATATATGATTTCTGATTGCATCGGCGTCAAAGGTGTCAATATCTGTCACGAGTTTAGTTCTACGTCTCTTCTTCGGAGTACGTAAAATATTATCTTCCGTGCCAGTAGAGCCGAACTTTTCTTCATTAATATTTGTTATCGTTCGTTTGCTAACTCCAAGCGCCTGAGAGACGCGTTCTTGTACTTTTTCGACAGGTAACAGGGGTCCGCCATTTTGCCGCTCCCGCTCAAAGTAATCTTGCAGCTTGATGATTAACTCACGGGCTCCACTTTTCAATGTTTGTCCACGTTTAGGCATTATTATGCACCAAAAGTAAAAAGAACGCAATACAAAACACAATCGAAGTCCGATTTAGCGCCGATGTCAGTTTGAAAAGCAGAAACAGTCCATTAAACGAAAGCCTACCCGGCTCATCAAATAAAAACAGATCGAAAACACTTGAAGAACGTGGTCTATGCGCACGAAACGACAACAGACGACTGTTTTAGCGTCACAAAATGGCGGCCCATAACGCCATTTGGGGTTACCATTTTCAACCTAAATATAAAAATGCTACTTTCTTACGCGTGTTCGGTTTGGTCGTAGTTTTATTTTTATATTTAATAAAAGTTATCTTATAGTCCATTATTTTCAAATTCTTAAAAAGAAAAACAAAACGTATTATTTTATAAAGTATAACTGTATAAGAACAGATTACGATACTGTTCTTGCCTGTTATTGTTAGCACAGCACTACAAATATAAAGCGCTGACATAACCTTGTAATAGCGTAGTATAGATTTAGAAAAATATTGTTTACCAAGTTATTTGACACTCAGTTAGGCACAAAATTATAACATTCATTGATTATTGATATAATAATGTTGTTTTAATGCTCATTAATTGTTAAAACGGTAAACAACCAGCAAAAATATTTTTATCGTAACTGCAACACGATTACAAAGTTACGTCGTCAGTTCAGTCGCGACGTGTAAGGAACGCATTCTCTGAACGGCCGAACTATAATAATACGATTATTATTAAAATGATTATTTATATTTTTATTGTATAGACAATCAACTTGGCAGTCGCTACGTCGTTAGGGTCACGCGACGTGCAACTTAGTCGGCAGACCATTGACGCGTTATCCATAACATTTTAAGAAAATAAAAAATAATAAAAAATGTGATTGTGATATTGGTCATATTAGTAACATACCTCACTCTGGCTGAAATTTGGTTTTATGACTACAGTGCTTGTGAAATTAATATACTGACTTCAAAAATAGTATTATCAAACCACTTTCAAACATTTCCAATAGCTTGGACATAATACATTCAATTTTATCAGTTTTATCCATTGACCTGCGTACTTGTATATATATAGAAGTCAGTGGTTTTATCTGATTTTATGATATTGTGCTGACAATCATACATTTCCTATTCCTTCACTAGGAAAGAGCCAAGTGTATTTGTGACAAATTATTAAATCAGATTACCATAATATAAATATTAAAAATGATTTATGCTATTGTGCCCATATTTAAAATCGTAATGCATTAATTTGAAAATGGCTGAAAGTTAAATATAGACTGAAACGAACTTTGAATAATTTCAGTGCTTTAAACTAGAATAAATTTAACACAAACTTTGTGAACCTCAATGTAGTTAACTAATTACCGATAGCAAGACCTGTGCAAATTTAAATTTAAAAATTACAAATATTTTTACTGGCGTTTTATAATTTTCTTCTTCAGCCTCTAGCCTTATAACTGTGTTCAGGTTTAAGGTATATGAGGAGTTAATATAACTAATAACTTTAGGTTGTGAGGCTATTACACCTACTTCTTAACACATCTTTCATAACAACCTTCTTTGGTTCAAATACTAAAGGATCCTTTTACTATCAGGTGAACTGTTAGCGAGTCTGCTGTTCTTATACAATTAAGGAAACATGTTGTTACTTTTTGGCTTCTCTATAGTTAAAAAAGTCGTGTCAGATAGTATTTTCTGTCACCGATGTGAAAACATTAAGCTGATTTTATGGGCATTTAAAAACGACCACGAATTATTCTGTTTCGTTGCTAGAGGGAAAATTCGTACGTACAAAATGTGCATTAACACACAAAGACCATTTTAAAATTAAAATTACAGCCTGTATAAGTCCCACTACTGGTACAGGCCTCCTCTCATTTCTCAGAGGGTTTTAGGGCAAGGAATTGTCCGCAGCGCTGCACCAATGCGTGTTGGCGAACTTCACATGTCTATAAAATAGTTTTTTTTTATTTCTGAGATGCCGGTTTCCTCACGATGTTTGTCTTCATCGCCAAGCACATGGTAAATCAGCATTAAAATTGCAATTAACAATTTAATTGGTGTCGGTGGGGAGTTTAAAGTATTATTTTATTCTCGGTCTCAATGAGACATCATTTTAAAACAGTAAAATTGTATTTTTAGATATTTCAAAACGTAGACCAAATTTTATTATATCTCATTTTAAAATTTGTTTTTCTGAAACATACAGTCATAACAAGTACTACAAAATGTGGAGTCAGTTCGTGATTACAAAGAGTGTCTACTTAGTAATTTCAAAATTAAGCTATGGTTTGAGATGAATTAGTCTAACTAAATAAGTATCTTAAAAGCGGCGTCACAATCTTTGCACATTGACCTTTGGTGTCATATTTCATATTTTGTATTTTAGTTATTCATAAATATTTCGTAAAGATTAAGTCCTAGGATCAAATCACGGGTCGGGTCAAAAAAAGCAAAAGTTGAGTTTTTTTTAAAGTAATTCCCAGTAGCAGCGTGGACTACGAATGAGGCAATAGGGAGTGCACCTGTGCTAGCGTATACCCATGGGTCCTTTCCGTAGAGAATAGCTACTATGAACGAAAGTTGTTTTCGAGTAATATTATTATTGTTTGCAGAACTTCTTTTATGAAACAGATTATAGTTAAAACCTGAGCCTAAGAAAAATTCCAAATTAATTGTTATTACAAAATGTAGTTTATAATTAATAAAATAATTTTTGTAATAAAGGCAGGTAAGAGTAGGAAAGTGGTGGGCTGGTGCTGACCGCTGGCGGCGGTGGAGAGCGTGAGGTGCAGCGGCGCGGCGACGTCGGCGGCGGCGGCCTCACGGCGGCGCTGGCGCAGCTCCTGCACGCGCTGGCGCAGCGTCACCCAGAACATGCACGTGAACAGCGACTTGATCAGCAGCGCCACGCACGGCTCGCCCGCCGCGCGCCCCACGCCGATCTGCCGCAGGTTCACCTCCTGCATACCACCGCACACACACACACATACACACGTGCCCGTAAATGTAACCTAACACCCACTGTAAAGTCGGGACGCTAGCTTGGTACCACGGGTATAAAAAAACACGAACGTAATGATACACTTAAAAAGTACAAAGAATTTTGGCGAGAAGTTGACCGACAGACGCCGGTCTACTGTTTCATCGTACAAATAATGATTTGAAGTAGATTTTAATATCTTTCTTTTTTTTTTTTTTTTTTTATATGGGGGGGGGGGGGGGGGGGGGGGGGGGTTTTTGGGGTGGGGAGTTGTGTGTATATGTTTATAGAATTAAAAATGATGCTTTTTTATAAATTACATGTTTGCGCACGTAAACTATTAGTAGAAACCAAACTAGTGCTCTAAAACATTAAGTTATCGCTTATGTGCCTTAAGAACTCGAGATACTGTCGTCTTCGACTGTCCGCGGGTCTGCCAAGAGCTTTTGTCGAAATCTCCTGAAGACTTCGCAATGTGACGCATCAGCATATTGTAAAGAAGTTTTACAAACATGTCTTGTTATTTCACACTGCCAAAAGTATAACTGCGTAAGTTCATAGCCAAAGAAAAAAAATGCATAAAGCACCCTAGATCCTACTATTTTGTTTGTCATACGTAAGACAAATGATGATCGGCACCAGTATGCAATGTTAGAGCTAACGCGCGCTGCATATGCATGCATACCGATTGTTGGACCTTGCTGTATTTATGTGCGTGTATCTCGCATATAACAGACAAAAATGTAGTACCTGGGATAATTCACATATTTTCATTTCGTCCTTATTTTCATTACGTACATGCTATATGCAAATATGTTACAAAATAGTGATATTGTCGTATACCATACATGTTTCGACACCGCCTGGCCTTAAGTTAATAAATGCAGCTACATTTAATCATACGGACAAAATATATAATGCACACATCTTTCCTCTCGCTTTCGCGCAATCTGTGGAAGTCCTTTTTTGAAAAGGGACGGAAGTGTGTAACAGGAAGCCGGGGAAGCGCGCATTATTTCGTTTGACACATGTGCGCGCGCAGTGGTAGTAAAGTGTGCTTATAGATAAACAAATTTATATGTGTAAAGTATATTAATACATGTATTTACTGTTGTTTAATAAGTCTCTGAAAAGAGTGCAGACCATTGATAAAGTGAGTAATAATGAATAATTATTTGAATAAATAATTTAATATTTAGCTTTTATAAATTTTACAGTTTATTTCTTAGTCAAGGATATTGTTAATAATTAAAGTAAATATCAGGTTTAACGCTTATTACCAAATGAGATGTCAGATATTACGAGTACACATCATATGCGACTACTGTAAGGCTCGCCAGTTTTTAAGTATTATTTTATTCCAGGTCTAAATGTTTGTTTATATACAATTTTTGCACGTATGTAAAACACAATAAGGGAATATACCTAGTATGTGTCACAGTTTATAGTTCATAGGATAGGGAAGTTAGAAATTAAGCATTCAAAATAAAGGGAATACAAACCGTTATATTGGACGGTAGCTCACTCTCGTACAAATTCATTCCGTAAATATACTGGACGAGAAGCAGCAGCATGGCGTAGCAGACGAGCACCGGGCTCGTCTTGAGCATGAAGGAGCGCTGGTCGTGGCACAGCCACACCACGTTTGCCCACATGAGGAACACGAACGTCAGCCACGAGTGGAACATTATGCTCCACGCCATCATCGTGATCGTCGTCGCTATGTACGACGACCTGAAATATAAATTTGATCATTTAAAAGAAAGAAATTTCTGACCTTACCATTTTCTTTGTTTAAGGTATGATTTATTTAATTAAACAAGTACATATTAAAATATTGAAATATAATAAGTATAGCTATTTAAATTTCTCATTTGGACAAACAATGTAGTATTATTTCATATTTGCTTACAATGATTTTACTGATTTTGTTTTTCAGATATTAGTATTTCGGTGGTAGCTGGGTTGGTATTTTAGTAGCAAGTACCAACTATATGTTGATTAGCTATTACCACCATTACATACCTTTGATATATTTAGCGGTTCATTTATACCATACTGTTTTTTTAAATAATTTTAATAATTATGTAATTTTAGTAGCGCACGCATACATGCCATGGCAGCACGTGGTTTCACTAAAATGGACAGGAAAAAAACATTCATTTGCTATTACGTTTATATATTACACACTAAGAATGCCAAAATTTACGAATAAAAATATTACCTATGATGTATTAATTATTGTAAGCAATACGGAAAACCCACAATCACTTTACATTATATGATACATTACATTAAGCATTAGGACCATCTGTCACGGAACGTGTTAAAACATATAAGGAAGACCCCGAACTAGTGAACGATACGTGCATACAAATATTTTATTTTAGTTACTGCTTACTGTATACTAAAGGAAGTATAAAAAATACTGCAGTTTTGCCTAACTATTTACCTGATCAAAACTTGGAAAAAGTCTATAATAGCAGCAACCACGTCGTCCATAAATGTTGGTTCTTCGTCCTCCATTATGGATTCTGGCAAAATTAACAAATGATTATTTTAGAGGGAAACCAATATACTTACATCGAATATATATTTAACATAAGTTTACTATATTTATTAAATATAGGAAATAAAAGAATCAAAATAAAATATGAAAATCATACTTAGATTAGAGGCAAGGTAGGTAATAATTTCAATAATGTTACCAATAGTATGATCTATACTAAATAACATTGAAGTGTCTGTTTGTAACGCCGAAATAACAGCTTTACTAAATCACAGCGGTGACACTCCCTGTACGTGAAAGCTTAAGCGCCGGTGACCTTGAGTCGAAGCGTGTAATGCTAGGGTTGATATCGAACCGAAATGGAATATTATAGACTTGTACCAAAGAAGATACATAGTAGGTATGTGTTATATATTATGTAAACTTATGTATTTGGGTAGTGAAAGATTCAATTTTAAATCAACTTTTATTAAATGAGGGATATTAAAACTTCCGACAAAACCAAATATGCACGACAGTTAATGGTAATCTTAAATAATTACCAACACTTATTTTAGTACGAATAATCGTATACCTATATCCTAAAATTTACTCTTATATATTTTTGAATTTTTCGATTAATTTTTTAATTCTCATTATTATTTCTAACAATTGCAAAAATTCGTAGCATGTATATTTTTTCCAAAGGTATGCAGGTTTCCTGGGACATGGCGGCCAACAAATTGTTCCCTATGTGTTGAGGAGATAAGTAGTTTCTGTTTCTAATGAAATAATCCATAAATACAACAATGAACAAATACAAAAACTCTTTACAGATATCTAAAATTTCTTGACTCTCTAGTGGTATTTTTAATAGTGTATATTTCAGTTAATGTAATATAATAAAATTATTGGCGATATATTAGTTTTATTGTCATGGTATTTCCCCATAATTCTTGTTAAGATCATATCGACTTTCATTAAAATGGGTTCACATATTTTTAAGTATCATAAAACTTTATTAAAAATTAAACTAACAAAACAAGGGCCCTTGTTTTGTGCAGTGGAATTTATTTTAAATCTAATCACTTAAAATCACTTTCAGTAATACTTATATATATACTATAGTATCATTTATTTAATAACAACATTAATATTTATCAAAGCATATAATCCTAGCATACACGGCTATAAAAACTAACAACGTTACTTGGTAACATAAACTTAATACCTACATGAATAGAATAGTAATATGTACATTAACATATCAGTAATAATCATATATTAATTGAAATATTATATCACTTGACGAATACATTCATATTAACTAATACTGACAAATATCGGTATTACTACTAGCCCTCGACCAGGGCAGTCGGCGACTGCCCGTTTCACGCCCCGCGCGCCTCTCAAGGCCCCCGCACACATCCAGACACCCACACATAGCCGCAAGCGATTTTACGTGCACACATGCTTAAGTGTCGTTTCTTTTCGCGTAGTGTATATATTCTTTGACTAAATGCATATGTAAGTATAGACGGTACTTGTATAACAAAAAACATTTTTTGAAATTTTGTCTGGCTGCTTGTCTGTCTATTTGTACCGACTAATCTTTGAAATCGCTTGACCGATTATGATTTATGACGGATGTTATAAGGGGTAACTTAGGCTACTTTTATTTTAGATAAAGAACTAGGTATTCCACGTAAAATAATTAAAACCACGAAAAATAATAAAAATGTATGCAGAAATACCACATCAGTATAAGGGATAAATTCCTAGAGTGGAGGTATAGTTTTTATAAAATGGAAAAGTAAAGTGGGAATAGTGTCAGTTGACGTACCGTCATCGGGCACGACGACGGAGCCGGTGGAGTCCTGGTGCAGCTGGCGCGAGGCGGAGCGCGAGCGCGCGCCCCAACGCTTGCTCGGGCTCAGCGTGCGGATCAGCTGTGCACGTCCGTACATCAATACATATTTTCAACATTTTTTTTAATTTTCTTTCAAGCACTGTCCTAAAATAACTACGTCCTGACATTTATACAATTTAAAAGTAACTGAAGAATTATCTTTGTTTTTTAATATCAACTGTTCTACAATAAAATTTAAAAATGTTCTATCTATCACATTGTATAGGAACAAAAAACCAAATACTCAAATTTTTGGAAAATCAAATATTAAAAACTCACAATAAATTACAGACGAACTATAATATTGACTAAAGTACCTACTTCTGAATAAAAACTTAGAAAATACAAATATTGAATATCTATAACAAACAAATTTAAACACAAAACATTCATAATAGAACATCGAATGTGGTTAATGGAGTTTTATAAAATAAGGCATAACATTGTGTGCATTGCGCGTTGTATGAACTTGATATATAAAAATCATTCGAAAAAAGCAATGAAAGCAGACGTGATTGCGATGTTACGATTTTTTTTTTAATTCACATAGCAGATTTTAAAACGAAAAGAAATAGGAAATACATACAGGTGTGTTCTCACCGACGTCCCCGCTCAGTGCTTGGGAATTTATGTATGAATATGCAACCTACAAAAGAATTAAAAAAGCAGGTTGCAAAAAACAACATATAAAAAGAATTTTCCGTAAATATCGCCAAACATAAAAACATTGTGTACCTACACCGTCTGTGTTAGTACTACAAGACATGCCTTTTCATCAATGCATTTTATCAACTGTTAATGCGTGTGGTGAAAATATTAAAAGTGCGTAGAAATGTTACTTACAAAAGTATAAGATTATAATTTATCTACTGTACACTACACGATTTGCTAAATGCTATAAATAAAAAAGAAAATTGTGCTATAATAACTTTTAAAGAACCTACAGCTTTATACACATACAAATAAAACTGAAAATACATTGAAACTAGTGCGTGTGGTTTCGCCCGCGCTTACTCGAACTTTTTTAGTGGCGCTCTTCCACTTGTCTCTTGTGATGCGGCGGCTGCGGTGGAACGAGACGCCTCGCACCAAGGAACCGTTCACTTTCCCAGCCTCTACACCGGTTAAGACGCTCTTTTTCTTCGTCTATATTCCCCCAGTTAAATTGCACAAATAACATAATTACTATGACATACAGTGACATATCAAATCATCTATCTACGGCAGCAGTACGAAGGCATTTCAGCGTTAATGGCGTCAGTGTTACAGCCAAACTCGAATAATGACACTAAAAAGCGTAATGTTATTACGTTCGTGTTAGTAAAGGGATTTTTATTTAAATTTCTTATCACAAAACAATATAGAAGAAGTTGGTACGTACCTTCGGCTTAAACAGTTCGCGGCTCTCAATAGCAAGGAAGAAGTAAGTAAAAAGAATGACTAGGGGACTTGCGAGTGTTGCCCACATGTGATCGTCTGTCACTTCGTAGGTGAAGTTTTGTGCGTCTGTGTCATTTATTGCCACTAATTTCGTTAAGCCAAAGTATCTGAGGGCAAAGTAGTACCAAAACATTAATAATAATAATAATAAATATTTTTTGTATTTATTTTACTTTATTGATATTTATCATTTCATTTTCATTTACAATTATATATTTATAGAACCCAACCAGATGAGAAAACTATATACCCGTAGGGATAATCCCATAGGATACTATAATACACAATAGAATGGCTGTCAACCTTATTTTATACGACGATAGGCGTCGCCGGGAGCTACTACAAACCCGATTCGCTATGTTGACAGACAGATTTTAATACATATTTATATGTAAATAGCGTGCAATTTGGCATTTTCTAAATAATTTGTATGGGAAATTTGAAAACGATTGTAACGTCAAAACACATCTCGTGTTGATGTTTATACGTGTGAATTGACGTGTTAGTGACATTTTAGTGGCTACACGGGCTCCGCCCACTCCTTCGTTCTATTATGTATGTATTATAGTATTCTACGGGATAAACAATAGGATTAGTTATGGCGGCTCATAGAGCCTGTGCCGTCAACATGTACAGTACCGATAGCGAAAACCCGCTTATAACGATATATTGTTATAACGTTATTATTCGGTTAATTGGAAATTTTCTATAATGAGAAAATATTTTTTAAAAACTGCACACGCAACTCTACACGCGACCCGCTCTGGCTTTGCCTGGGTGGTTTCTAACAATGTGGCGTTATTTAGACTAAAAATAACCATTACAGTCCATTTATTCTATCTTATCAATATTTCTATTTTAATAAAATTTCCAAATTTTTCGGATACAATTTAGTCCAGATCACTCCTGGTATTACACTCTATTTTTTCGTTAAGTTTTATTGCAATCGGTTCCGCCATTCCCAAGATTAGCTCGGACAAACAGGCAAACGAATTTTTTTTAAAATGCTTACTTATTTCGTAATGGCAAAAAATAAATTTAAATATTATATAATTATGAATAAAACTCAAAACGCGTCGTAACTAACAAGTTAGCAAAACTGGACTGATTTTTTGTGGTTTATGGTATTTTGTTATTTAATTTCAGTAACAAGTTTGACTGAACTAATAGAACGTACGAAAAACACATATCGCAACGTATTTTTTGCAGTCGTTACCGGCGGGTGTGAGTAAAAAAAAGCGGCAGTGTGCGAGCGAGAGGTGAATAGAGGCGCCGCCATTTTCAGTCCCATTCTTTAACCGAACGTTTAGTAGATACCCCAAATAATAATAATAAAAAGGCTAGACCACAGAAAGGCATTCAACTCGGTGCCCCGTACATGGCTAAAGAAGAGCTGTACAAAGTTGACTGAACAGTAAGACTTCCTCGGACAGTGTATGGGGCAGTAGAGAACGACCCTTTGTTATCTAGGCGAGCGGATGACGGCTACGAAGAACCGTATAAGGATAAGAAGGAGTATCTTCCAGGGCGACTGATTGAGTCCAATCTGGTTTTGCTTCTCCCTGAATCCTCTCAGTACCTTACAGGACTCCGGTATCTATATGAAATAGTTTGCGACGTATTTTATGCACGCTTGATCAAAGTGCTTAACAGCCTTTTGTCCAGCCTTTTGGCGTGAATAAGACACACGCATATAACAATTGGGTCATGCCTGTTCTCATGTATACCTTTGGCATACTCAGGTTGACTCAGACTGAACTTGACGCCCTGGATAGAAAACTCCGCACTGCTCTTACGTCCCATAGAATGGATCATCCGAGATTGTTGGTAGAGGCTGTACTTGTCTCGAAAGCATGGTGGGCGTGGCTTTTTAAGTGCGCTCACCGTGCATAATCGCGAAGTGTGCAGCCTCCGTAGTTACTTTCTGACGAGATCGGATGATCTATTCTATAGTGACGTCATTTCCTGTGATAAAGTTCTTACACATCTATCCTTAGCCAACAAGCAATGGCAAAACCCGGCAGTACAAAATATTTCCGACTGAGAGAACGTATGAAAGGAGAAGGAGCTCCACGGGAGGTTCTACAAGGCTCTACATGAGCCTTTCGTAGACAAAGTTGCCTCCCTCCACTGACTACGTTTTGGTGACCTCTTCGGGGAAAACCGAGGGTTTTGTCTGTGCGATACAGGATCAGGTTATTAAGACCAACAATTATCGAAGGTACATCCTAAGGGATGGCACCTTCGACATCTGTCGAGCTTGTCGTCATCCCGGTGAGTCACTTAGGCATCTCATCTCCGGTTGTTCGGCGCTTTCTAACTCTGAGTACTTGCACTAGCACAACCTAGTAGCCAGAATTCTTCACCAGGAGCTCGCTCTGAAATACGGTCTCGGGAATTGCCATATTATAAGTACTTGCCGGAGGCCGTGTTTAAAAAGGACCGCGCCAGGCTCCACTGAGACCAGGCCATCATCACAGACACGCAGCCAGGACTATTCTTTCGAATAAGCCTGATATTGTGCTGATGGACCGGGCACAGTCAAAGATATTTTTGTTCGACATTAACATTCCATATGACGAGAATCTCGTGAAAACCGAAACAGATAAGCGAACAAAATATCTGAACTTGGCTCACGAGGTGACCGACATGCGGGGCGTACTGCCGATCGAAATTATATCTGTAGTCGTTTCTGCGAACGGGTTAATCCCAGTCAGCCTCTCGGGTCATCTTTTTTTAAAATAGAATAAGGTGACAAACGAGCACCAAAGTCCCCCTGATGGTAAGTGGATGCTGTGGTCCATAGATATCTATATTTATCTTCAATTAAGAATCAAAATGCAGATGCGTTGCCAGCCTTGAGGATGGAGATGGAATGCCTCGTTTCTAGTAAAAAGATCTCCGATTCTCTACTAATTACCATACGAAACACAGCAGCATTAAGCTGCTATTTTACGCTGTTACTCTGTGAGAGCGGGATCCTACCCCGGTCGAGCCGATCCATTCGTGCTGCAACCACAATATAGCTGCAGCATGGCTCTACCACGTAAAAAAATCGTCATTTGAGGCGACTGGGACTCCGTGACGGACCGCTCTGAGCTCAAACACAGAAAGTGGTACTCCTCCATACCGCCCACATCGTCCGCCGGTTTATTTCTTTTTCCCCCTAACCCTCGTCCGTTTTGTCTCTCCTACCGAGGGCTCTGGTTGTGTTTTTATTTATTCATGTATTTATTTCATTCTATTGATATTTATGTATACTTATCATTTTCATTTACTTTTTATTTAAATCCCCCTTGCGTCCCTTTAGAAAAAAACAGTTTCAACCTCTCGACCAGAAGTCACACCAGAGCAGAATAAATACCGTCCCATCACGTGTACACCGACCATATTTTATTTTATTGATATTTATGTATATTTATCATTTTCATTTACAAATATTATATAGAGCCCAACCAGATGATAATACTACACATAAAAATAACTTTATTTCAGAATTCATTCCATGTGTTAGTAACCAAATACATAAAAAACAATAACATAAACACTCACGCCTGTCACCCAGAGGGGTAGGCAGAGACTACAGACTTCCATTTGACATACCTCTCTCGCACCTTCCACATCCATATACCTACGCATACATGCTCGTCGGTTAAGGGTACTCTTAATTTGGCCCATTTTTAGTATATCAAATACAAAATCTTAAAAACAACGGTTAGTAATGATCTATCACTGGCAAAACTGTCGCCATCCATTGTTTTACATGGATACTGTCTAAACTTTATGTAACCAAAAATTTAAACCATATCTAGTCCACTTGTTCTTTAAATACTAACCTCACCTTCACGCCATGTATTGCGCTGATTTGATGGCTTTACTTTTGGATGATTTTACGATTGGATGCCTTTACTGACTGAAGGCGGTAAATCCTTTCAAAAAAATGTTGAATTCTTATTTACACAGACAGGTGATGGGTAGCAGTAATACCTACGCGAGGGTGCCAGCTCTGTGCTCTTCAGTCCACCTAACGACATGGGTATAAAGAAAATCTTTTAAGAATGTGCTATTTTTTTTTATAGAATAGGGTGACAAATGAGCACACAGTCCACCTGATGGTAAGTGGTTGCTGCGGCCCATAGACATCTACATCTATCCTCCATTAAAAATCAAAATGCAGATGCGTTGTCACCCGTGAGGACTGAGATGGGATGCCTCGTTTCCAGTAAAAAGGGTCTCTGGTTCTCTACACTCACCATACGAAATACAGCAGCATTAAGCTACTATTTCACGCTGGTATTCTGTGAGAGCGTGGTCCTTCCCCGGTCGAGCCGACCCATTCGTGCTACAACTATACTACTAATATAACTGCAGCATGGCTTTATTAGATATGCTTGGAAAGATATATTTTAAACGATGTACAATGTAAATAAGATGTCTATCAGCGGACATAAAAAGGCTGCATTAATGATGATAATGAATTACCATTATTAAATTGCATTGACCTACCTAATCGAAACTCTTTTATAATAGGCAGAAACTATTAAAAGGGACTCAGCAATTATGGAGAAATTAAAAAAAGTAATTTGCCACTGTAAACATAAAAACTACTTATGTGAGTCTTTAGCTATTCGCGTGAAAGTATGCGGCCACAATTTTAAAATTGTCCCAGTAGAGTTGGTCGTATTGCACTGTTCACGGCATTGTGAAAGTAAATTATTCATAGTAGATAGTGTGTTTACGTCAATATTTTTATTTTTTATATGTGAAAAATTACAGTATTATGATAAAAGTTTTCCTTCAAAAAGGCACGATTGTCGATACTACGGACCTGGCGAAGTTCTCATCCGGCGGGTAAATGTCGATGATCCAAGAGCACTGGTAGACGAGCAGCACGGCGATGTGCGCGGCCATGACGGCCATGAGGCAGCGGCCGACCACCGCGAACCCGCGCTCCAACGGCCGCCCCAGCGCCCACGCCGTCGCCGCACCCATGAACACCAGGTAATAAATACCCGATGTAACACTCGGCCGCATAATACCGGAGAACATTATTAGGAACAGCGCTATATACTTTCCTGCAAATAAAACGATTAACATTTAAGAAAATTATCAAAAAGGAAACTGACCTTACAGATATGTCTGAAAATACGGATATAAATATTGGAAACAATCCGTCTTAATACTGAAATTTTGAGTTTAATAACCATATTACGTCGTAAAACCTCGGTTGGTTTATACTACATTCCAATAGGTTTAAAATATGAGAAATTTACCTTTTATATATTTTCAAACACCTTATATATTTACAAAGAAAAGGAATGTTCATGAGGGACTCATTTTTACGAGACGAGGAGTCTGACCTGAGAATTTGTATATAGAAATATTTCCTCAGATAATTATGTTGGAAACACAGATTACCTCCTAATATAGGAGGTAATCTGTGGCTGGAAATGAATTTATTGGAAATGAATTGTGGGCCTCCAAGCGAAAAGATTCCAGTAGTCGGGTATTGAGTTGATTAAATTCGGTATCTAGAATAGTCAATTGATATTACGGATTGAAAAAATATTCAATAAAACTGGCAAACTTGTTTTGAGAAAAAGAATTTTTAAAGTTTGAGTGAAAAAAAAAACACACTTCTACTTGCTTGTTACATAGATTTTTAAGCTATTGCATAGCTTCTATCGCGGGCCTTGAGCGCGGGGACCGAATCCAGAAATTCCGTAACGAAAAAAACCTCAAGCTCCCCACTCCGACGGGCACGGAGGTGTGGCGTTGAAAGCCGTGCATCGTCTAACGTCGTTTCAGTTCGGCAGACTTCGGCACTCGGCAGACTTCGGCACGGTGTTTATGTGCGTGCGACTAGACGTATGCGTGTACACTAGCTGCTAACTCAATGATAAAAATTCCTGAATAACCTACATGTATTGTAAGATATTAAAAATATTTTAAGTTGATAAAAAATGCTATGCAATAGCTTTACCGCGGCAGTCACCGACTGCCACACGTATTTTTTTATTTATTATTATAGATTGAGATACTCTTCATAAAATTAACCTTTAATTATACTAGTAACATCAAAAAATAAACAATTACGATTGAAATAAAAGATTGATACACAGTTAAGTAAAAAGGTCCAGTTGTCGGTGTTTAGTAAAAACTGAGTAAATACGACAGCAATTAGCAATAAAAAGCTAATATTAGATATTCCTCCTCTATTTCGGGACTAACAAAATAACAAGACAGGTTTTTTAAATTACAATTGGAACAAATACTCTCTAAATAAAAGATCGAAACATAGTTTAGTAAAAAGGTCCAGTTGTCGGTGTTTAGTAAAAAGTGAGTAAATACGACACTAATTGGGAATAAAATACTAAAATTCAATATTAAGCCTCTATTTACTAACTAACAACATAACAAGACATTTTTTTATTATTATTAGAACAGGACAATGAGATTATTTCGGCTACACCATACCTTTTACAAAATAACATATCTAATAACTAGCAAAAATAAACAAAAAAATTATTCTATTTGGGAATCTAACTTACGTTTTCTACAACAATGACTCGCATTCGACAGTGAGATCGATGGTCGATATCGACGAATTATTAAACTCGCACTCATGAATTGTTTCCGATTATTGTCAATAATTGGCGCTTTTTTATTTCATACAAATCGTAGTTGACGCTCTCGGGATCGAACACGTAAAAAAACTCACACTAGGCATGCAGTACGAGGTATTGAAACGTATTTTGTTCAAAAATATTGACATGCCGACCACTAGTCCCTTTTCACTAAACCTTTCTCTTAAAGTTTCTGGTAGTTAGAAACATCGTATAATAGTCATTAATATATGAAATTGAAGATAATTGAGCAATAATTAATAATCGATTAAAATCGCGAAATGCAATTTTTTAATCCAACTTTACAAAACTCTTAATTATCTCGGAAACTAAATGCCAACAACTGGACCCTTTTCACTTGAAGGCCCACAATTATTGAATCCTTTTAGAGAAAATTAACATAATAGTCATTACGAACAAGTCGTTATGTAAGTTTACCGTTACGATATACCTATTATTTATAACCCATACGATCAATTAAACTGATCCGTTTAAATTGATCAGATCAGATTAGTTAAACTGACAATGGATCTAAGCCACGATTTCTCCACTTCAGTTTAACTGACCGTGCGCTCGGAAGAATCCGTGGGTAGCGGTCAGTTAAAAATGAAACTTAAGATTTCACACGCACGGTCAGTTTTGGGATGTACGTTAGTTCAACTGATCAGTTTAACTGACCGTGTGTGTCGTCCATAATATCTTAGTCTTACATAATTTATTTATATTGCTATATTCAAATACAAATAAATTTACCAGTTCCTATTTTATAATAAAATAAGCAATTAGGAAGAAATTTCCAAACGCAAACTCAGTTTGGAGTGCTAAAGTGAGAATGTTCAATGTGGTAGCTAGACAATAAACTAACTAGAAAAAACTTACAAAACTTTAAAACCAACTCACAATCTGCCCTCAAATCCAACACACTGACAAGATCTGAATCTAAAAAGTTAGCTTTACAGGCTTTTATATACATGAGGAAATTCTTTCATGCACTGTTAGTCACCTCTTAGTTTTTAGACGACTTCAAAAAGGAGAAGGTTCTTGTTTCGATATTCAATGGGTTATTTTTATTTTAATATATATATAACTAGTTTTTTATTAAATAGGAAATATGAAAATCGGAAAGCACTCGGTCGTCGACGATTCGAGCCGCTCTGCGCTGGATGCGGTCAAGTGGAAGAAGCTGGTACTGGGAAGCCCCAGTCCAGAGATAGCACGCAGCCTTAAGGAACACCAGCATTAATAGGCTTGTAATCAGAGCTTCCACCGTCTACAACGACCTTGATGCTCCGATCTGCAAGAAAGCTGGTGATCCAATTGCACAATTTCTCGGGAAGCCCACAGGAAGGGAGCTTCGAAAGAAGCGCTTTGTGCCAAACCCGATCAAAGGCCTTCGCAATGTCCAAACTAACGGCCAATGCCTCCTCCTTGGACTCTACTGCCGCCGCCCATCTATGAGTCAGGTAGACCAGAAGATCACCAGCTGATCGACCACGACGAAAACCGTATTGGCGATCACTAATCAGCTGGCGATTCTCAAGGTACCTCAAGAGCTGGCAGTTTACAATGGATTCCATAGTTTTGGAGAACAAGGAGGTGATGGCGATGGGCCTGTTTCTGGACGGGTCTGAGCGGTCGTCTTTTTTAGGGATCGAGTGGACGAAAGCCGTCTCCCATGATTTTGGGACTACGCCTAGAGAGTAGGAGTACCGGAAAAGACGCGTTAAGACCGGTGCCAACTATGGTGCACACGTCCTCAGCACCATTGGGGGGATACCGTCAGGCCCACTAGACTTGTGGATGTCCAGGGAGAGGAGTGCTTTATGAACCGAGCGCTGTGTAAACCGCACCTCCGGCATGGAGCACTCACACTGCGGGATGGTCGGCGGCGTACTCCCCCCGTCATCGCGAGTCGAGTTGGACGCAAAGAAAGAGCCCAGCAGATCGGCTTCTACCTTTGCGGCATGGACCAGTGAGTCGTCTTCTCTGTGCAGAGATGGAAGAGATGGCTGACAGAAATTCCCCTGGACATCCTTGGCGAGACACCAGAATGCAAGGGTTCCAGAAGGAAGGCGAACTAGTTTCTCGCCAATTCTGCCTATGCGCTCTGACTTTGCCTTGGCAATGACTCTTTTGAAGGACCTATTTAATTATACTTCTTTTTTTGAGGGCTGGTGTTTACATCCCAGGACGTTGATGCGTCAGCCCAGGCTTGGTAGCACTCCTTCTTATAGCATGATGCTTTTTTACAGGAGCGACCAAACCATGGCTGAGATTTGCCTCCAATGGGCACCACAGAGGAAGGAATAAAAAGTTCTATACCCTAAAGTACCACATCAGCGACAGAATCACCAACAACGTTGGGATCGTCCAGCGAGAAGCAAACCCGCCCCCAAGGGTAGGATGCAAAGAAAGACCGCATCCCATCCCAATCGGCTGACCTATAGTGCCAAACACGGCGGCACCTTGCAGAATGCAACTGCGATTTAAGCGTGAGTGGCACCACACTCCGGACAAAACAATGGTCCGAGGAGCCTAAAGGGGCGTCGACGGAAATCTGATATCCGTCCGGATAAGAGGTCAGCAGAAGGTCCAACAGGGAAGGTGTATGATCCTCCACAACCGGAATCCGCGTAGACGAAGTAATCAGTTGTGTCAGACCATATGCCAAGGCAAAATCATGAACAGATTTCCCCGCATGATCGGTTAAACGTAAACCAAGCCACTCGGCGTGGTGGGCGTTAAAATCGCCGAGGATCACGATCTCTGCGGAGGGGATCGGCTGTAGCAAAGAATCTGTAGTCATTTGAACGTAGTCGAAGAGTCGGTGTGTTTCGGCATTACCGCTATGGGACCTACAGAGGCACCCGTAGACGCGCGGATGGTCGTCGCTGTCTACGCGTAGCCAAATATGGACAGGTCCGAAACTTCAATACTGCCGAAGCGTCGAGAACAGATGTCCTCTCGGACGTATACGCAACTCCAGCCCGAGGCACAAAGGGGTGTTCCAGTTTGTACCCCGGGTAGGAGAGATACGAAGCATCAGCCATAGAGGACACCTGCTTCTCGGTCAGAAAGAGCAGAGCTGGCCTCGCCGTCTCGAGATGGTAGTGAACAGCGTTTAGGTTAGAATGAAGTGCACTTCACGCCGGTATTCTGTGAGGTCGTGGTACCACTCCGGTTTGAGCCGGCCCAATCGTGCAACAGTAAAGCTGCCGCGTGGCTCTACCACTGTTAAGAGTTGCTTCTGAAGTAGGGGTGTTAATTCTTCGATAATACATATACTATCACTTAGTAGGTACCGACTTCAAAAGTTGATTATTAAGAAGAAATTATTTTATTATTTTTTTATGCTTTTAAGTCTACTTTTACTTCTTATTAAAAGCTTGATAAAGTGAATGAAATATCTTATAGCATAAGCATTTTAATTCATGAGATAATTTTAAAAT